TTTTTATATTGATTAGTCTGCATTGTGAATGACTGATATTTAATTAAGTAATAACTAAGTAATAAATAAATCATTCATAAACCACTGCAATCTTAAAATATGTTTAAATTAATACAAAACCAATAAAATATGACTAAATAACCAATACGTAGAATAAAAAAAAATATTACTTCAAAACTGCTTAAGTTCATTTGAATAAAGATTTATATCTATACATCTATTTTTATATTTATTCGTCATTTTATATTTAGAACTCTGTTGATGAAAACGCCGGTAAAAAACCAAACCAATCTAAGAAATATGACCTTATCGGAATAAAATGGAGTGGTGACACATTAATTTCCTATATATAATGAGAACAGTTACATTTCTAAATGTGAATAACTTGCAGTGATTCTAGAACATTCTTGGTAAAAAAAAACGGTGACACATTATTTTCCTAATCCGTCACCGCACAGATAAGTCAGCAAGTAAACAATTAAATATTTGCAAACCTGTTACAACATAGGTAACTATTATTAAAGGAACAGATGTGCCACAACTTGATACGAACAATCAATAAATAATTGATGAAATACATCCTTGAACAAAACCTGTTTAGTGAGAGTTGACTTTTACGATTATAAATCTTTGTTTGATTCCGTGACATTGTATTTTTAAACAAGTTTAAAAAAAAAGAACAAGTTGTTAATACCTGTTCTTTTTAATGTCTTCTTAGAACTCTTTCAGTCATACATTTTTTTAAATAAAGGATTTGGTAAATTATGGACAAGGTACAAATAATGGGATAAAGGCAGGGCAATGATGAAATGAGTTGATTTTTTTTTTATCTGAAAGGATGTTGTCGATTAAGTCCTATAGAAACTTTATCACAATTGATTCTGGTTTGGTCTCTAGATATTCAAATAACTATAAACCTATATAAAAATGAATTGCTGTTCGTAAGTATCGCTAAAACTCGAGAACGGCTGAACTGATTTGGCTAATTTTAGTCTTGAAATATTCGTGGAAGTCCATGGAAGGTTCAAACGGTGATAAAATATGAAGAAATTGCTTAGAAAATAATAAAAACAACAATTTTACTTTCCCATACAAACTGTTCGTACCTGTCATCAAACAGGGTTCGTTCAGAAATTTATTGCTTTATTAAAGTTCAAAAACCTTTGACATATTATTTAAATCTAAGGCGAAACAGAGGTCAGCTAGTAATAAAATAAACCTTTACTGAGACTGTACAGTTCTCTTTTAAGTATAAAATACTTGTGTATTAATATGCTATTAACCGTAGCAGGTGGTATATGTACAAGGGTAGTTGGAGATACGAGAGAGATAGCAATGTTGGATGACGCTTTTGCCAATTTGTGGAATACAAACAGTTTGTTGATCCGATCGATCCCCCGTTCAAACGGGGATCGGAATTACGACGGCCTTAGCCGAGATTCAAACCCCTAGCAGTGCCCTCAGACGAAAGTCGTATCCGTCAGGCGGCAATTGGCCTTCAGCCGCTCCATAAGTCCATCCGCGGGTTTGGAGTGCCATCGGCACTCGCCCCCTATCGTCCGGTGAAGCTGTAAAGGCCAGCTGCGGCAAACAACATTAGAGTAGTCCGAAAAAAAGGTAGACAAATTGTTGATGAAAATCTGTAAATAAAACTATGCAACTGTCCCATAAACTGGCTACTATCATCTTTTATCATCCGATAAAGAATGATGAATGATGACGATTAGTCCCAGGTCTAGGGGGGGCAGGGGGAAGGGGATTGTTAGTAATGTGGACTAATGATCCCATTGCTAGCAATGTACCATGTCAGATCGACCTCCACGCGGTTCCCCCTGGAAACCATCGTGACACATTCCCGGTGAATTTGTCACGTTGGGCTAACTGATCTGACTTCATGTTCATCTTATCATCCTCCACTGGTGCCCCGCCAGCGTAAACCGTTAGCGCAGGGTGGTGCACCATTCCATTATCATCCATGAAAAAAAATATGAGGTCACAATTCATCATTTTTGACTCACCTGACAACCTGACCACTGTCAGACAGTCAAGTAAATTGTTTGTGTACAATGCATTTGAAAATGAAGATATAATTGTCCAAAAAGCCACAATCTTTAATAGCAATACTAATGTGACAAATTGTATGTTAATATGTAGATTGCAAAAATTTTGACCACTGGCAGAGGGTGGGGGGAATTCTAGGGGACTGGCATATTTTAGTTTTTGCCACACCTTGAGGATAATAAAGATCTGGGGCTGATGATGATGAAACTATAGTAAAACAATGCAACATAGCTGTAACTGTCTGCTGTGTATTAGTTATAATCCTCAGTAATAGTAATGCTTGAGCGGTTAGTACCTCTCAAGCATTGCCATATCTAAGGATGGCAAGAGTTGAGGGATACTAGCCTCTCAAGCATTGCCATTCATGTGTGATATGATTATGTGATGTAGATATGTGTCCAAAATCCAAAAATCCAAAAATACTACATGTATTTGTTGCCATTAATGTTTGTGAGAACAAATAAATTAATTTTTAAAATATGTAATACTACAGATATATTGCGTATAATTGGATATAAATATTTCAGTTAACTTCCTATACAAGCGGTCCAGTTATAATTCTTTATGCCCGTAAAGTTGTCCTATGTCTCACATATTTCTCCAAATTCTAAAATTTGATGGTAAATTACAGGATATGGAGGCATGAGTCATCGCATTCCTCGCATGAATCAATCATTTGTACTTATTAGTGTTTGTATTTATTAGGTCATATTCTATGTAAGTATGTATATTATGTAGGCATTTAAAAAAAATTAAAATATCTCTACTCAGTTGTCTAGTACCCATAACACAATCTCTATTTAATGCTTGGGAGTATAGCGCTGTGTGAATTGTTCTGGGTTATTATTATTAATACTGTGTATTTTGTGTTGTCTGTGGTACTGTCCTACCAACCAGGCTTATATAATTAAGAACAAAATAATTTCTATATGAAAATGTGTGACAACTTGTTTCCAGCAGAAGAATGTTCTGTTGACATATGCAAGTCTGCCTCAATAAAAATAGAACTAGTTTGTGTGATGTTGTGCTAAGTTCTATTTTTAGAAACATTAAAGATTGTTTAAAAAAGTTTTTTTATTAATCTCTTGGTACTAGCTCTTGTAAAGTGTACTATTAATTACTCCATGCTACAGACAACAATTGTTAATTTGCAACAGATTGCATTAGCTTAGTTGCAATTTTACTTCTATAAACAAGGATTAATTAAGTACAGAGTACCTACCTATTTTCCTGTACTTATTCTTATTTATTTACACTCCCATATTAGTCACTCTGACGGCTATAAACCATAAGATGACTAAATTTTCTTAATATGAACATACCTAATTATGTAAAACAGGGTTAACTGTATTTATGATTAATGTAAAAATTGCTGGAAAGAAATAATTTAAGTACCTATAATTAAGTTATTACAGAACTGTCTCATACAATTACATTTTTATATAACGATGGAAGTATTAGTCATCATATAAGTATGATAATAAATAACTTTCCCCTAAGGAGGTTCAACCCTATTCCACGAATTACAAATTGTACCCCCACGAGTTCCTATACGCTTTTAATAAATTAACGTGTCAGATCACACAAAGTCAGTTAAAAATGGATAAGAATACGTTGTTAATATCCAAATTTGGGGTATATTACGTTAAAATAACTCGAAAATCCTTCGCGTGTGGTCCCCCTTGGTAACGCGTGAAAAAAATCAATATTCGTGCCGAAAAATGTAACATAATTTTTATCTGAACGCGCAACTAGTTTATTCGCTAAATTACACAAATTTTTAATACTATTTCATTCATAAACTGTCTTTATTACGATTGTAATCAAATAATCGATGGGCAGTGACGTTCGCGTTAGCTCATGTTTACTTTTTTTTAAGTACGCGAATTATGGTATAAGGAACACCAGATGCTCAAACACACGGTAAATAATCGAGGGCCAAAATAGATCGGCTTGTGGACCATGTACGGGATAATTATTTATTTGTTTTGCTAAATAAAGCCCGATGGTGCGATGAACTCAATTGTACATACCTCATTTTGACGCTCGTATCGTTTCGAGACCAATCCTTAAACACTAATGCACAGCACGAAACAATTGTTCACTTATAAAATGCATATTTTCACAGACACAAAAGAACATTTCCGTATTATCGACTGGCGTATACGTCTAGGTCACTTAGCAGGGTAGCCATTTTTGTCAAAAAACACTTTTTACGTCCCTATTCCCAATTTCGGAAAGTGATGAGCGAGAGGACGCTATTCAGTACCGCACCTAACCACGAATGAAAATAAGTGGATCATTGAACCGGCGATCATGCCGAGTTCTGTCCGTTCTACGCTTGTGATTCAAATATGACTTTACAATAAAAATTCTAACACACCCTTAGTCATATGTTCACCACGACTTTATGCAGTTACAAAACAACTGAGACAAAATTCGGAATTCTGTTCTACACTTTGTCCTCAGCGTTCTAAATTTGGTCGGATAATACGTTATCTTGTACGTAGCCAATCAGCTGCTGGGAAATTATTTCAATTGTTACATTTAGCGCCATCTATTGATCAGTAGTTTCATTCCGCTTTGACATTAACTTGAAACTGACAGAATAGTGAACAATACTACTTTTTACATCTATCAATTTATGTTTTTTTCGGACTACTCTAATGCTGTTGGCCATAGCTGGCCTTTATAGACCAGACGATAGGGGGCGAATGCAGGTGGCAGACAAATTCCACGGAAGGCTAACTCCTACCTGACGGATACGACTTTAATTGCACCTCTCTCGGCTCAGGCCGTCTTAATTTCGATCCTTATCTATCTTTCGATATAATTTCGATGAATAAGTATTGGTTGTAATTACTTGTACCTACTTGGATTCTGTATAGTCTAATTAAAAGAAATAAGTTTACATTCTTTTCATATGTTCTATTAATTACTAATTACTTGAATCAGTCAAGTCAACCAATTGAAATATTGCTTGACATATGTTGAAAACGATGCATTCGTTCACTTTCACTCAATCATTCAAAATTCATACATTTCGTACACATTGTTTTGCGATGACAAAATTGCTTTGATGAGTGTGTTGATTATTGTTGTGTGATGTGATTTCACTGACTTCGTTCACTGACTTGACAGTTGAGTTTTTCGGGAACAGCCTGTTTTTCTTTTCACAAAGGTTCCTTTTTTGAAAACACAAAAATAATGGTGGGCGCTATGCCTGTTAGCTTGATACCAAAATTTTACAACGGTACCATGAACAGTCACAATGGTACGGACGATAGTGATTTCCAAGTGTATATTGGCAGTCGAGTTAAGTGTGGAGAAGAATTTGGCACAGTGAAGTTTATTGGAGAAGTGCAGGGATATAATGGTGTGTGGTACGGGGTTGAATGGGATGACGCTGCTAGGGGGAAGCATGATGGTTCGGTTGATGATGTCCAGTACTTCAAGACGTCTAAACCTGGGGCGGGTTCTTTTATTCGTCCAAACAAAATAACTCCATTCAAGACTTGTGCTGAAGCTATCAGGAAATATTATGGTGATAGAGAGGTAATTCCTTGTATAAATCATATTAGAAATAATCTTTATTTGCTTAAAATATGATAGCCAAGTTACATTAAGGTGTTACATATAAATTGCAGATATTTATTCAGCATTACATCAGTATTAGTAGAGTTTACAATAATGTTTGTACTGTATATACAACAGCTTCAAAGTTAAAACTTAGTCATACTTAATCCTGAAAGTGCCTCCCACACAGCATTTACTTACTACTAAATTGGCTGCTAATGGCCCATATTATAAACACCTTACAGATTAACATACATGTGAGTGATATAGTTAATCTATACATATAAATAAAATTAGAGCATCTGTTTCTAATATTGAAATAACCATTTTACTACTTGCATCATATATATAAAATTCTCATGTCACAATTTTTGTTCCCAAAGGCCTCCGAAATGGCTTGACCGATTCTCATGAAATTTTGTGAGCGTATTGAGTAGGTCTGAGAATCGGCCAACATCTATATTTCATCCCCCTAAATGTTAGGGGTAGTCCAACCCTAATTTTTTTATTATTTTAAGGCAAAATGGTTGCCGTGACAGCTAGTATGAATATAAATGTGGTACATACACCAAATTAACAATTTTTACAATTTTTGTCAGTTTGTTCCGGCTAATCTCTGAAATGGCTGGACTGATTGATGGGACTTTTTTCAGCAGGTAGCTGATGTAATAAGGAGTAACTTAGGCTACTTTTGATTAAGAAAAATTAATTTATTTTATTAAAATAAAGTTAAATTCACACGGACAAGGTCACAAGTACAACTAGTAAAAAATTTAATTTTTTTTTAGAAATTGCCTTTGTGGTCACGTCACTCATGATGGCAATATGCCATGGTAGCGCCATAAGCCATAAGACCATACACATTTTGGTCATTGACAATTTTTATGTCTACTTTGTTATTGCAGCAATTGTATTAGTTTTTATTTGAAACAAATAAAGATGATTATTATAATTATATTATTTATATCATCACAACTTATCGACTCTGACTATCGATGAGGTAGTCAGAGCCAATTGTCGACATCATTGTAAATGCAACACTTGACCTTCCCATGTTTTACTGGCTATATATTTTTTTGTTCTTATAATGTATGTTTTATATTCTATATTTCAGGATGAAACTGTTGCTGCCCACCGCAGAACAGTCATCAATGAGTGGAAAAGAGAGATGGGTGCACCATTTATTGAAATGGTTGGCTTTGAGAAGATACATCAGAAACAGTATGTCTATCATGTTTTTTTTATGATAATGAAACAGTGTACAGTGCTGACAATAAGAATGAGGTCAGGAAGCCCATTGTGATGAAATCACCAGGAATGAACTGAGGTGATTTCCAGGGGGAACCACATGGAGGTTGACCTCATATGTCAAGGGGTAATTTGGTCCATACAAATAATATAAATCAGAAGAATGAGGTCAGGTGAGGTTAGTTAGCCCATTGTGATGATTCAACGGCAATTAACTGTTAACCAGGGAAAGCGCATTAAGTTTGGTCTGACCTGTCCACTAGTACATTGGTACATTTAAATAATATAAAGAGGAAAGATTTGATTTTTTGCATGTTATATTGCGTTGAACATTTATTCAAGTTGTTGAGAATTTTTTAAAATTATTAAGACTTACTTTGACCAATTTAAAAAAAAAATTTCACTGTTTGATATTTATAGATAGGGTATCCACCCCAGAGTGAGTGGCTATACATATATTATCCTTACTAATTTTATAAAAGTGAAAGTAACTGTCTATATGTATATCACGCAAAAACTACTGAATCGAAAATTGAATGAAATTAAGTAGACAAAGATATTTTATAACCTGAGAAAGGTTATAGGCTACTTTTAATCCAAAAAAGGGGTTGTAAGTGGTTGGAAGGTGAGATCAAAGGTTGTATAGAAGTATAGTAATATTACAATCATGAAACTTTTTTCTTTGACTTTTTGGGTAAGATTATTAAATATTTCTTTCTTTATTTGGCCATGCCACACAGACGAAGTCCGCGACTCCACAGCGAATATTAATATCTACAAAACTGAATATTCTAAGTAAAGATTTGTTTTTTTATAAACTTAAGCATTAATATATACAATTAAAAAAATATTTCATGGGTATAAACCAATGTTACCAGCAAGTAACACTGGCATGTATTTACAAAGAATATAAATAATCTCTACAATAATACCTTCAGTACAATCCTAGGGACCTGCAGGACCCTAGCATTGCACTTCCCACGATTTGTAAATGAAAAAAGCTAGAATTGCCATTTAATGTATTACAGGAAGTTCGATCGTCTCCTCGAAGTATGCGTTCACGATCAGAACGTGTCAAAGGCGGGCGACGTGGCAGCCCTGTGCCCCAACGTGCGCAGTATCGACGTCTCCAGGAACCTGTTCTCCAATTGGCGTGAGGTGATACAACTGTCGTCTCAACTACCGGATCTTCGTGAACTGGATGTTAGGTGAGTAATGTTTGCTTTTCAACCGTCTTCACAGCTGAAGGTTATCAATTACGATTTTTTTCTATGTGAACCAATTTTGATATTTTTTTTTAATTGTAAGCATGTGTCTGACCATTAGTTTTTGAGATGTCCTTGGAAATGTGTTTGAAGTTGGGTTTTTTATTTCTGTTAATTACTAGCAATGTGTAGTAAAATAAAAGAAAATGTGTAGTCAGTCCTCTTAATGATACTCAGTCCTCTCTGTCTACCCCGTAAGGGAATATGCGTGAAGATATTTTAAAACAAAACAGAAAGTGAACAAACCTCAAGTTGCGGCAACAGCTCGTCCCACGCAGATTTACAAGATCACTATCAAAACTGCGCCCACGTTGTATTTGTCTCGATGGCCTTCACGTAATTTTATATTGGTTTATAAAATATCCACACGACTATAATACCAGATGGGGTAGTCAGAAGTAGTTTTGTAATGGATGTTTGGAATGTAACGGTTCTGTCTTCGCAACATGACATGGGATTGTTAATAATGTGAACCGATGAACATATTGCCAACAATAATGGCTGTATCATCCGTTATTTTTATTTATTTATTTATTTCAGGCTACTAGGCCTATATTATAAATACCTTATAGACTAGTATACATATGAAATAATATTATAAAATTAAAATATTTAATTTCTATGTGGTTATGTTACTGACGATGGCAATCTGCCATGATAGCGTCGATACACCACACCCTTCACCCAGTAGCGCCTGCCACTAGCGAAGTTTAATAGCGCTGACGGTCCTATCTAATTACAGTAGTCATAAAAACCTTTGAGTTTAAACATAACTTTAATCTATATATCTATACATATACATAAAATTGGAGTGTCTGTTTGTAATATTGAAATAACCGTTTTTTACTACATGCATATGAATATAAATACGGTACATACACCAAAATAACATTTTTTACAATTTTTGCCTGCCTGTCTGTTTGTTCCGATTAATCTTTGAAATGGCTGGACCGCTTTTGACGGGACTTTTTTTGGCAGGTAGCTGATGTAATAAGGAGTAACTTAGGCTACTTTTATTTTAGAAAAATCATGTTAAATTCCACACGGGAACAGCTAATTTATAATAAAATACTGTAAACATTCTTGGTAACTACTATAACTAAATTAACTGTGACAGGGTTCGATGTTTGAACAAATTTATTTATTCATTTTCAATCATACAAATATTATATAGTTGATTATGTTATACATTGGGCCCCGCACTAGGCGAACCTGTATCGCGGGAGTCCACAAAAGAATTGCCAGATGATTATTAACTATTACAGATCAGCGGGTACAGTAGATTTGACATATCAGACGAATGAAGATACATTAGTTCGATTTCATAAAAACATTGCAATGTACCTCAAAAGTCGTAATGCAAACAGTTGCACAAGAACATAGTGTTTTTCAGATTTAATAGAAAATTAGCAGTATACTAATGAAAACTACTAATTTGTAATTGGGACACTGTAGCCGTGTTCTTTAAATAGTCTGTAGAATGAGTATGTAACTTCTTAATGTCTTCTACCAAACGTAGCTTATTTTTCTGTCTACTCTAATGCTGTTGGCCACAACTGGCCTTTACAGCTTCACCGGATTATAGGGGCGTGTGCAGATGGCACTTCAAACCCCCGGAAGGGGGGGGGGGGAAGGGGATTGTTGTGGGGAGTGATGTGTACTCATGACCCCATTACTAGCAATGTCAGGTTGACATCCACGTGGTTCCCTCTGAAAACCATCGTTGTAAATTCTTAGTGAATTTGTCACGATGGGCTAACTGACCTAACCTCATGTTTATCTAATCATTCTCCACTGGTGCCCCGCCAGCGTAAACCGTTAGCGCAGGCGGGTGCACCATTCCATTATCATCCATAAAAAAAAACCCGCGTAAGAACTTATGGATTGGATAAAGGGTAACTCCTGTGTGACGGATATGACTTTAGTCTGAGGGCACGTCTAGAGGTTCGAACTTCGGGACAGGCTGTCGTCATTTCGATCCCCGTTTGAATTGGACGGGGGATCGATCAGAGGGGATTGACCACACACACTCACATTGCCATAGTGAGTGACCACAAAGACAATATGTAGTATTATTTTATTTGTTTGTGAATAAACTGGCTTTAAAAAAAAGTAATTTATTTGAGTTTCTTGCCAGATCTTCACAATTGGATCTATATACTGAACTGGACGGTAGGGAAATAATTATAATATAAAAAATTTGACTTTCATAAGCGGCTAAAATGACCTACAAGGATTATTGATTTTTGAATTTGATTGTTATACATATGTATGTTAGTCCTTAATATTGGGTCAATATTATTATACAATAATATTAACATGCCTGAGCAAAAAAAAATTTATAATTTGTTATTTACAGCAAAAACCGCATGGCAATTGACATTCCCGAAGAAACTCTCGCACAACTATCAATCAACTTCTCCAATTTGGAGAAACTGAACATCTCCGTGTGTGAATATGAGTGGGCGGATATAATAGCGTTATCCCATCTCTGGCCTAACGTGAATGAAGTGATCGCAGCTCATAACAGAATTAAATGGATCACCGCACCGCAATTGACACTACAGACCGTTACAACCCTACGATTAGATGGCAACCCCATAGACTCGTGGCGGGAGATTTTGAATTTGGGGAAGATGAGGAACTTGAAAGTTCTCAGTTTGAACGACTGTCATATCGGTGAAATAAGGTTTAATGACGAGGCAAATAATAAGAAAGTGGATGTGTTCCAGAATTTGGAAGTGTTGTTTTTGAACAGGAATAGAGTCAATGATGTAAGTATTTATTTCCAATTTGCTGTGCTTGCGGATTCACCTGCGTGAATTTTATAGCTTACTAGCTTATATCTGCGGCTTCGCTCGCATTGAATCAATATATTTTTTTATTATTTTTTAATAAAAAAGTAACCTATGTTCTTTTTAATATCTCCAAGAACATCTGTACAAAATTTCATGGTGATCGGTTCAGTAGTTTTTGAGTGAAAGTGTAACAAACATCCCTACTTTCTCGTTTATAATACTTAGTATTATAAATCTGAAAGTAGGAATGGAGGGACACTCAAAAACTACTGAACCGATCACCATGAAAATTTGAGGATGTGTTGCCCTGATGTATAAGCTATATTATTGTAAAGATTCATTAAAATCCATTCAGTAGTTTTAGCGTAAAAGAGTAACAAACATCCATCTATCCATCCATACTCACAAACTTCAGCATTTATAATATTAATAAGATTTATGTTTTATGCAATTGGGATTTATGGAAATGAAATATTCATCATTGCCTTGCCTTTATCCCATTATTTGTGGTCGGCGCAGTATGTCATTCTCTTCCACTGCTCTCTATCGGTCGTCATATCTAAACATACTCTTCTTTTATTCATATCATCTTTCACACAATCTATCCATCTTTTCTTAGGGCGTCCCCTCCCTTTACATCCATCCACATTAATATTCATTCACATTCAATTATTAATATAAAAAAAAAAGTTTATAAGCGGCTAAAATGTCCTACATAAATAAATTCTTTTTTATTTGATTTGAGTATTCTAGTTAGATTATTAATTGATAGAGGAACTTCCTCCCGCGTACACCTAAATTATAGAATGAACTACTTACCAAGGTTTTCTCAAGAGACTACAGCATAGGGTTTTTAAAGAAGAGTTCTTGATATTAAGGTTTATTAAGGGTCGACGACGCGCACCTGACATCCCTGGTGTTTCAGACTTCCATAAGCTACGGCAACCGTTCACCATCAGTTGGGCTGTATGTTCGTTTGTCACCGTCCAGTATATAAAAAATATGATGTTCAAATAATGAAAGTCGGCTTACCCTGGTCTCAATACGAGTTAAATTAAAGCTTAGTATATATACTCTACAAGTTACCCCTACATCTATAGATGCATATTTTTCAGTAGTTTTGAAAGCCTCGGTGGTCTAGTGGTGTAGCATACCGCTTTACTATACGGTCGCGCGTTCAATTCCACGCACGGTACACACATTTGTATTCATGAGTATGATTGTTTGTATCGGTCTGGGTGTTATCTATATTTAATATCTATGTATTTATTTACAAAAAAAATATTCATATATTCACTCAGTTGTCTAGTACCCACAACACAAGCTCTGCTCAGCTTGGGACTAGATGGCGTTGTGTAAATTGTCCTGAGATTTTTTTATTATTTTTCAGTGGCGATCAGTAAGTGAATTGGACAAGTTGAGTCGACTGAAAAAATTGTATTTCCTGAAAAACCCAATCCAGGCTACGGACTCGTATGACAACGCATCACAACTCATCACCGCAAAAATTGGCACCCTACAGGTATGTTTTGTTTCTCCGTATCAATATATACGACTAGGGTGGAAGGGGTTGTTAATAATGTTGTTGAAATTTTTTTTTATACTACGATGGTGGTGAACGATCATGCATACGGCCCATCTGATGGTAAATGGTTACCGTACACCAGGGGTATCACATGCGCGTTGTCGCCCCTTAAGAAACTTTTATTTTATTTGTATATAGGTAAAATGAAAAAAGACTTTTCTCCATATATCTAATATGGAGAAAATATATTCGGAAAGACTATTGACAACAGAATGAATGTATAAACAAGAATGTAATATAAAAGAATTATCAAATGTTCAAAACAAATACAAATTTAGAATAAAAAATATATTTTTGATTAGCCAGTTACAACAAATGTGGAGAAAATCCCCTAATAATTACTAACAATTATGGTACATAAAGCAATAATCTTTTAATTATATATTTATGGATGGTTTTTATAAAATCAATATATTTATCCATGAAATAAATGATCTCAAAATTGCTTTGACATCTTTCCAGGAACTAAATGGAACAATAATAACACGCGAGGAACGCCGCGGGGCGGAGTATGACTATATGAAACAATACGGCGCCGAGTGGAAAGTATCCCAAAAGGATTTCGCAAAACAAACAATATTCACATTGGAACATTGTCGCTTCGAAGAATTAATTAAAAGTAAGTGCGGTAATTTCTGAGAACATAAAAAAATAAAACCCTAGGAATACAAACAAATACAGGAATAAAACATATAATCCAAAAGGTTGTCATCTTCTAAACTTGTTTTTTAACTGACTTAAAAAAAATAGGTTGTCCGTAATTTCACTGCCATGTCTCACCCAATGGAAACAATTTACAAATTGAACAGCTTGGTGCTTAAAATAGGTGAGATAGATATACATACAAAGACAACTTTGTTATAAGTCTATCTTTGGTTTAGTCCTACAAGACTGCTATTTGATTAACAAATTATATATACAGTTATATATAAATACGGTATGGGGTTTTCAAGAAAGAGATATTAACGTTTCATATGGGTCAAAAATACATAACGAAATATCTCTTTTGGAAAGTACTCACTATCCTGAAGAGATATAAACCATCGCTCCTAAGAAACAATCTCAATCCTTGACAGCCCCTAGCCACCTAGTAGTGAACTTTAAAAATGAGAAAACACAAAAAACCTCTGCAAGTCGCAGTGCTATAATAAGATATGATCTTATGGGGGGTTTGGGCAAAAGCTTATGATAAGCTATTGCCCAAACCCCTTAAAATAACAGTTTCGGCCACGCTGACGCTGACGAGCTGATATCCTCCTGCATCAGGCGTAGGCTACGGTAAACGTTTAGCATTAAACGGGCGGTTTGTTTTATTGACACCACTGTTATAAAAAAGACAATGGTTTTGTTTACAGAATATGGCGTTCCTGAAGACAGCCTTCTAGTGAAGCAACCCAAGACAACAACCCTCACATCCCAATTACTAGAAGTAACGCTTCAAGACGAAAACGGGAAGAAAATCAAAAAGAAATTCCCATCCACAATGATAGTTCAGAAACTGGTAATACTCGCTCAAAGACTGTTCACAAAACCTGGCAACACTGGCGCACCAAAACTCTATCTTGTCGACGACCAAATGAAAGGCGCTGAAATATATTTAGACAACGTGATGAAAGAATTAACGTATTTCTCAGTCAAAAATGGCGACACCATTCTTGTTAAATTCAGATAATTAACAAATATATAATTATTAATGCTGGCAGCACAAGAAGACGGTTACGTTTAATTGGCGGTAATTTTGCGTATGTATGTATTTCATTTATGAAAAAAGCTTTGTAAATAATGTTATTTCTAAATTAATATTTATCCCGACATCTATGTATCAGAAATAAATATAATTTATTTATCTATTCATTTACATGTTTTATTTATTTTTTATGAACACGGTCCAAATATCTGAAAATTGAAATATTAAGGAAGCAAAGACAATATAAAAAAATATTATTAGCCTTTTTGATTTCATATTTACAATGGATTGTGAGGCTAACGGGTATGCCTACATGTATAAAATAATCGACCATAGAATTTAATTTAAATTTAGAACATTGAATCATAGTCATAAAAATAAAAATATATCAAATAATACATTTATAATTATAGAAACTCAGTATGACACTGCAAGTGTAGTTTATTCTCTCTATGCCCAAGAGTGAGTATGTATACTTTCGTTTATAATATATTGTAATAAACAAATTATTAGTATTTTCAATAAGAATAATTTATTTATCCCAGTAAGAGTACAACCTACAAACATCTGTGTATATTGAAACTGAACACCTGCAACCTTCAGATCATAAAAATCTAACCTTGAATTAAACGTGAACTGAGTTTATCTTTAATAGTTCAAGATGGAGTGGTGTGTGAAAAATAATTCATTTTATCTAAATTTTCAATTTCCATTGTTTTAAAATTACTAATATGAAAGTGTAATATGGTTTCCCGTTTATATTAGCTATAAAAATTGTGGATAACTGATATAAATGCCGTTTAAAATCGTTGATATATGTTTTTCAAGAAATAAGAAGAAAATTATATTACTTGTTTTTATATTTTATGAACAAAATGGTATTCAAACTCTTTTGATACTGGCCACATCGACGTCGATCGCCATTGGTAACCGTTATGTCAACAAAACTTTTTTGTTTACAAATGTCTAATGGCGACAAATTTGAAGTTGTTCCTCTTACGTGCGTGTATTAAATAATAAATTTAGTTCTATTTTAATAAATAGCGTGTTCTATAAACATGGGGAACTGTTGGACGGGTTTATTCCGTCGACGGAATATCCGTAGGCATATAGTTTTGATACTGATAGGGTTAGACAACGCGGGGAAGACAAAAACAGTGAACAATTTGGCTGGTGAAAAAGATGATAAAGTTCTACCTACGGTTGGATTTAAAGCGGTTAATTTAGTGCATAAAGACACGCCTGTGACCATTTACGATTTAGGCGGCGGGCCGCATTTCCGACAAATATGGTCGCAATATTATAGCGAAATCCATGGTGTCATTTTCGTGATAGATTCAAGTGATTTTTCCCGCTTGGATGAGTGCAGGGCTGTTCTGGAAGAGGTATTATCTCACGACAAGATATCAGGTAATGTTATATTCGCTAATTAATCGTCATAGCAACCATAGATTTCAACAAGCAACAAGCAGTTTTTTCTACCCACTGAACAATTCCAATTAGATGTTTTTATCAGACTATTATGTGTTATGCATGAGTGATAATCGTTATCGTACAGTAGTGCCATGAAAAATTCATCCACATCATGATGAAATGTATGTATGTATGTAATGCATGAAATTGTAGTCATTAATATTTTCTTAGAACTGAGTCAATCTTTCGATTGAGTCATGCTGAATTATTACTTGCTTGGTGATTGCATAACTTTCTCCAACTGAGAAAAATGAGGGTACTTGAATATAAAATATGTTCCAGTTGAGTTTCTTGCCACTTCTTAACTGAAGTAACTGTGCAAATTGGACAGTATATGTATAATTTAATATAATACTGTGTAATGCAACCTAAGGTTGCAATAATAAATTATTATTATTATTTACTCTACCTCAAGAAGAATCATTCTTATAATAGGGAGATCTTAGCCCATGTGGTATAAATTATATATAGATGTACAAAATTTGATTTAAATTCATTCATCCATTAATAAACAAATTCACAAATATTAATATTATTTTTATGGACTTTTTTAACTAATTTTTATTGTATGTGTCGTATGATACAGCACTAAAAAAGATATACAACCCTAAGTTTTCACCCTTCTAAAATCAACCATTATTTTTTATAGCAATATTAATTTATGTGGCAAAATAATATATACCAATCACCTAGTTATCTATATTTTTTATTTATGTATATAGTTTTATATGTATATGTATTTAGTATATATGTATCTAATTTTATTTTTACAGAACAGCACCTACCTTCCTTTACTCAAAACTTATATCTCCCATGTTGTCTGTAAAAAATTGCTTTTAGTGATAAGGGGCCAAATTTTGTTAGCCTATTTTTATATTATTTCTTTTTATAATTTTTTTTTGTATGCACAATAAATTGTATTCATCATCATTGCCTTGCACTTATCCTAATAATTGTGGTCGGCGCAGTATGTTTATGTCACTGATCCCTATCGGCCGACATATCAGAGCATACTCTCCTTTTAATCATATATTTTACACAATCCATCCATCCACATTCATATTATACACTTTCCTTAAGACATGTTCCTAGTTCCTCCACATAACATTCCCAATACAGAGTATTATTATTATTATTATTACCCTTGGCCTCATTTTCACAGCTTTTGCTGTTTTTTTTTCACGCTTTTTGGCATAGTATATGTAGCATTATTATAATTAAAAAATATATAAAGGTATATGTTAATGCAAACAGGCAAGCCAGTGCTTGTTTTGGCTAATAAACAAGACAAGACAGGAGCACTGGATGACATAGATGTTGTGGAGAAGTTAAATATTGAGCCACTAGTCAACAAGTAAGTCGTATAAATTTTATAAACGATTAGTAATAATAAGCCTAGAAAATTCACACAGCGCCATCTAGAATCAAGCTAAGCAGAAGTTATATTATGGGTACTAGAATTTATTTATAATGATACAAGTATGTAGAACAGTACCATAGACAGTAATAATAATAATAATCTAGGACAATTCTCACAACGCCATCTAGCTTTACGTTACGCAGAACTTATATTATAGGTACTAAACAACTGATAAGTACCAAATAACTAGTAAGTGCAAATTATGAGTCTAATATTATTTTTATTACTTACCATAGATACAGATGTCCAACTCTAGTAGAATCGTACAGCGCTTACGCCGACACGAAAACAAAAAAAATAAAAATCGACCCAGGCTTACGCAAGGGTTACCACTGGCTCCTCAACTATATAGTGCGTCGATACGGCGACATCAACCTACGCGTACAGACAGACATACACGCAGATTTAGAACGTCGGAAACGGTTGCTCAATAAAAATTCTAACATGGCATCCCAGACATTTACGACAGTTAGCGATGATATAGCAACTCAAACGGGCTTTGAAAACCCTAATTATAACGTCGTAGATCGTGAAGAAGCATTAGACAAAGGTGTAATTATTGTGAAACCTATCACACACAATCATAACAGCGTGGACACAACTCTGACCGTTGAAAGTATGGAAGATTCAGACAATACAAGTGTGAAGCCTAAACTTTCCCCCCTTTTCGGGAGGGCCAGCAATAGTTCCGTAACGGAAACTGTCAGAATAGAATTGGAGCCGAGGAATGAGTTTAGAAAATTATCGCCAATTGTAAGGAACAGTGGTGCCAATCATATAGATTTTAAAAATAGGCCCCAATCAAGTCCAACCTTCAAGAAACGACAAAAGGTATTTTTTTCATATTTTACAGGTCGTTGAAGTATTACGTAAGCACTATAGGGGGACGGGGGGGCCTTTGCTTTGCTTATTTTGGATAACATGGGGAGTAGGGGAGTCTATATGAGATTACGTCATCGGTAGTTATTTACTTTTTTACACGAATGGCAGCAAATTAATTTAAAAATGTTTACGTAAGAATGGGGGGAGCGAGGATCAAGCATGAAAGAGATTTACCTACTTTTGCTGACATGGGGGATGGAGGGGGGATAAATAATTATAATAAATCTGCTTACGTAATACTTGAACGACCCCATACCCGTAAAACAGTGGCGGACTAAAACCAAATTTTTATTTCATAAACTAAACCTCCTTGGAGTGTTTCTGCGGTCCCTAGAATGAGAGAGAAAACACCCAGACCGATACAAACAATCATTCATTCATTCATTCATTCATTCATAATTTAAGTGTCGGTGGAGCTCTTGCCACAAACAATCATACTCATAAAAACAAATGTTTGTGCCGTGTGAGGTATCGAACCCGCGACCATCAGAAGTAAGAAAGAATAAAATATAAATTCAAAATGTCTCTACGGTCAGTAGTCCTCCTTCATGAAGGTAAGCAGCATGTTGGTGGGGAGCCGGGCCACGAACGCTTTGAGGCTCGCGTTGTGACTCGATTCCAGTTGCGTCACCCTCAGTGTCAGGATACTTTTGGTCCGGATAAAGTCCTGTTCCTTTTAATGTGGGCCGTAATTTATGGATTAAGTTTTTTTTTCAGACTAAATCTCTAAGCAACAATTCGTCGATCGAGGCAGACGGAAAAGTGAATGCACCAGACGCTACCATGTGCCTCGGCGACGGGAACCAAACCTGGGACGCCACGGATAGCAAACACCGTGTTTTAGTCAACGATTTTGAGCTATCGCAGATGCAGAGGGAAATTGTGTTGACCGAACGAGGTAAATTCAAATACAAAAATCCTTTATTCATGTAGGACATTTTAGCCGCTTATGAACGTCAAATTTTTACATTTTAATTTTTTCCCTACCGTCCAGTTCGGTATATAGATCCAATTGAGAAGAACTGGCAAGAAACTCAAATGTTTTTTTTTATAAGGTAAGTAGTAGGTTTTGTATAAGGTAAGTGTAATATATCATGTTAACAGTATAAATATCTCTGTCTGTTCAGTTTACGACCACTGACACAATTTACTTGACGTCTCAGTGGTCAAGTTGTCTAAGACACGTTAATGATGAGTTCTGTATTCCTCTGCCAAGTTCGAATTTGCCAGAACTTGTCGTCCGGGGCATGGGCCCAGCTGCCCCCCCCTAGATCCGGGGCTGATTACACTATTTGCTTTTGACAAAATTGCAATAGCATATGTTGGTGGTCACCCTTTTCTGCCTAATTTGAATTTAAAAATGAATTTGTATGTGTGTATCAAATGTGGTATGGTATGATAACATCACATTTGAAAAGAAAAAGAACTGAGTTTTATTCGTTTGAATGCACTCCGAACTGATGGTAGTTTTTGACATATGAAAAGAGTCTGTAATAGACCTACGTGAATAAAGATACAGACAAACATTTTGAATAAGTTGTTTTATTTATGGATGATAATGGAATGCTGCACCCGTCTGCGTTAACGGTTTACGCTGGCGGGGCACCAGTGGAGGATGATAAGATGAACATGAGCTTAGGTCAGATAGCCCATCGTGACTAATTCACCTGGAATTTAACATGACGGCTTCCAGGGGGAACCTTCTGGAGGTCAACCTGTTATAATACATTGGTAGCTGTTGGGTTATTAGTCCAAATTACTTACCCCTTTCTCCCCTACATGTATAGCAAAATAATAATATCTCTCTATAATTCACACATCACCATCTAGATCCAAGCTAAGCAGAGCTTGTGTTATGGACAGACAACTGATATAAATACATAGAATTTTTTCGTAAATATATACATAATGTACACAGAGAACACCCAGACTGATACAAACAATCATAGTCATGAAGGAGGAATTGAACCTACGATCATCGGAAGTAAAACGATGTGCTAAACCTCTAGACCATAGAACCCTCAAATTATATATGTATTTACAAAAAAAAACTATTTTTTTATATCATTTGTCTAATACCCATAACATGTAAGCATTGCTTAACATGAAACTAGATGGCGTTGCTTGAATTGTCCACGGTCCAAGAATTTATAAAAAACGTCTCTCAAATACTAAATTGTATTTTTTTAAGACTATGCAAGTAAGACAGCCTCGTCCGAGGTGACTCTGCAGGCGGCCACGTTGCCGCTCAGCATACGGCCAGCCTCAGCATCGCAGCTGGTGAGGAGACAACTGGAACTGTCGGCCCAGCATAAACGTAGACTCAGCCTTAGATGTTAGTATTATTATATACTAGTTACGAAATCATGAAACATTGAAAACGCTGTATAGGCAGCGGCCTCAATACGGCGCATCGTACCATGCGCCGAAACGTGCCGTCGAGTCAGCAAAACTGAAATGTTGAAATCGACCAAAGAACGCTATCGGAGTTGAATCACTCTTGGTTCTAACATCGACCAATTGGCATCTATAATAGTTAATAAGTTAAATTGTAATTTTTATATTTCAATTAAATTTAATATATAATATTTTTTGGTTTTTTTTGCGCCCTTCGGCTGTAGACTTTTTATCTGGCGCAGTCGGTAGGATCGCTGTAAAGTAGAGTCAGTGAATCAAGCATCTGGCGGCGGCGATTCTGAACCTAAGAAGCTACAGACGAGGGGGTATCCAGACATCGATACTGCAGAGACAACTAAAGAATGCTCATGTAAGTACCACTAGAATCGATCTAGAGTTGCTTTCCTATCTATATTCCTGTGTCATTTTTTTTTAGATCCTGTGTAATTTAATTTTCCAAGATTTTCCAATCGAGGCAATCGAGGACCCGTAGATATAAAGATATAGATTTAAATAGGAATTTAAATTTTAGTGATAGTGACACTAGCAGCGAAAAATCTTTTTCATCAAGCAGTAATTTTATTATAGGAGATAAATTTAATTTAATTATGGCAGATTTAGACAACATATGGAAGGCCCTTCGAATGGTGCCTGAATTCGATGGTAACCCGAATATTTTAACACGTTTCATTGGCTTGTGTGACCATTTAGTGAACGAGTATGTCAATTCATCACCTGATAATGGCTTATTAAATGCTGCACTACTGAACGGCATCCTGAATAAGGTTACGGGGCCCGCCGCACGTTTAATAAACTCTAACGGCATACCGGAGAACTGGCAGGGTATCCGTAACGCACTTATAAATAATTTTGCAGATCAGAGAGACGAGACCTCTCTCTATAACGACCTCGCTTTATTAACTCAGGGCTCAAGCACTCCTCAGGAATTTTACGAAAAATGTTTAAATTTGTATAGTACCATCATAACATATGTAACATTACATGAAACTATTGCCACCACTATACATTCTAAGCGCGAACTCTATAAAAAACTTACATTACAAGCATATCTACGCGGACTTAAGGATCCCTTGGGATCGCGTATAAGGTGCATGAGGCCTGAAACTATCGAAAAAGCTTTAGAATTTGTTCATGAAGAGATGAACACACTCTACTTGCAAAATCGCAATGAAAGTATGCCTGAAAAGAGGACTAATCCTCTATTTATGCATAATTATAATAATAAATTTAATAATATACCACCACAGCAAGGTCCATCTAAACCATTTACATTTAATATGCCCGGACCATCACGTTCGCAACCCATGCATATGGTTCAACCATCACGTCCTCCCGTGATGTGGAAACCCAACTACAATCAACAATCGCAATTTAGAGGTCCAACTAGAACTCAACAGATATTTAGCGCAGTCCCTCCTAATTATAATCCACGTAGTAATGTATTTGCACTACCCCAACGACCATATAATTCGAATAATATGCCACGCCCTATGAGCGGTGTCAGTCACTACCCAACAAAACCGATGTTGACTGGACATGATTGGAGGAAACATGGAAATCCACCACCTACTAATTACCTTAAAGGTCGCGAATTAAACTTAACTGAATGCTACGAACCCCAATACTATTACGACACATATAATAACGTTGACAGTGACTATTACTATCCCGACTATTATACAGAAAACGACGAACAGACTTATCCATCCCCGTATGTAGAGGAAACTCGAGACGAATTTACTGAAAACAAAAATTACGAAGTTACTGAAAATGAAAATTTTCAGAATATTCAGAAATCAGGAAAACTAAAATAGAAATAAACTTACAGACACAGCGACAATTACCGTATATTCAGATATTAAATCCGCCCCTTAAACTACTCATTGATACCGGTGCCAACCAGTCTTTTATAAGCCCCAAGGCAGTAGAAAAGTTCTTTCAGCATATACCATGTAATTATGATCCTTTTGAGGTAACAAACATTCATGCAACCACGAAAAATTATTATTCCGTAACTTTACCGTGCTTTCAAGAATTTAAAGAGAATGAAGATATTACTCTATTTATCTATAAATTTCATGATTATTTTGACGGCCTTATTGGTTATGACTTATTAGAAAAATTAGAATCTAGCATTAATCTAAAGGATAAGGTTTTAGTTACACGGAATTCGAAAATACCTCTGTTAATGTACGATTCTCGTAATTTAAATTTATATGAGGATATAATCCCCGCAAATACATCTAAATTAGTTCGTATCCCAGTTAATTTTCATGATGGTGATGCATTAATAAATGATCAGACTATCTCACACTGTCAAATTAAAAGTTGTGTAACTACAGTTAAAAATAACCGCGGCATAGTAGAAGTTACTAACCCGACTAGACATGACATAGTTTTTTCTATGGACAAACCAGTTAGTGCAGAGCTATTCAATATTCAGTGCATTCGCACCGAACAGCAGTCCAATCGCGTAAACGAAGTTTTATCACGTTTGCGTACCGATCATTTAAATCCAGAAGAAAAAGCTAACTTAGAATCTCTTTGTAGTCAATATTCCGACGTTTTCTATATAGAAGGTGAACCATTAACTTTCACAAATAAAATCAAGCACCACATCCGCACAACAGATGAGGTACCAGTTTACACTAAAACCTATCGTTATCCCTTCATTCATAGGCAAGAAGTTCGAGAGCAAATATCTAAAATGTTAGAGCAAGGTATTATACGGCCCTCACAATCAGCATGGAGCTCTCCCATTTGGGTGGTTCCCAAAAAAGCAGATGCATCAGGAAAAACTAAATGGCGTATCGTTGTAGATTTTAGAAAAGTAAATGAAAAGACCATTGATGATAAGTACCCTATCCCGAATATAACTGATGTTTTGGATAAGTTGGGTAATTGTCATTATTTCACAACTCTTGATCTGGCTAGCGGGTTCTACCAGGTCGAAATGAATCCAGATGATATACAGAAAACCGCCTTTAACGTTGAACATGGACATTTTGAATTCATGCGTATGCCCATGGGACTTAAAAATTCTCCTTCCACGTTCCAGCGCGTAATGGATAACGTTCTAAGAGGCCTCCAAAATGAAATATGCCTCGTATATTTAGATGATATAATTGTATTCAGCGTCTCGCTACAAGAGCATATGGTTAACTTAGCAAAAGTATTCAAACGTTTGAGAGAATCAAATTTCAAAATTCAGATGGACAAATCAGAATTTTTAAAATTAGAAACCTCATATCTAGGACATATTATTAGTAAAGACGGTATAAAACCTAATCCAGATAAGATTGTTGCTATTCAAAAATTTCCTTTGCCTAAAACAGCCACAGAAATAAAACGATTTTTAGGATTACTAGGCTATTATCGCAAATTCATTCCCGATTTTGCTCGCATAACGAAACCAATGACACAATGCTTAAAAAAAGGTTCAAAAATTTCCATCAATAACCCAGAATATATTAATTGTTTCGAAAAGTGCAAAACTTTATTAACCAATGATCCAATTTTACAATACCCAAATTTCACTAAAGAATTTGTTTTAACAACTGACGCTTCAAATTTGGCAATAGGCGCGATTTTATCACAAGGACCCATTGGTGCCGATAAACCCATAGCTTATGCTTCGAGAACATTAAATACAAGCGAAATAAACTATAGCACCATTGAAAAGGAATTGCTAGCAATTGTATGGGCTACTAAGTATTTTCGCCCTTATCTGTTTGGGAGAAAATTCACTATAGTTACAGATCATAAACCTCTTCAATGGGTTATGAGTTTAAAAGAACCTAATTCTAGATTAACTAGATGGCGATTAAAGTTAAGTGAATACAATTTTACTGTTATCTATAAGCAAGGCAAATGCAATCAAAATGCAGACGCTTTATCTCGAGTTGAAATACATAACGAAGATTTAAGCTCCATTGCCGTGCAACCCTCTGAAAAACCTCCATCAAGAGCCGACTCTACAACCCTTACAGCTCATACTAGTGACGAAAATCCTATTTTAGAGATACCTATTACGGATGAACCTATTAATAAATTTAGTAGACAAATATGTTTCACGATTGTAGGCGATGTAAAAAGACGTCCAGTTGTTAATAAACCTTTCGAATCACACGTTCGAACTAATATTCAATTATCTGAAAATAATCTAGAACAGGACATCATAAATGCGATTAAAGAATATGTCAACCCCAAAGTTAGAACTGGTATAATAATTTATCCACCCTTAGCAATGTACAAGATCATTCCAATAATACAAGAAAAGTTTAAGAGCTCAGCTATGAATCTCATTTTAACCAAATTAGAAGTTGAAAATGTTAAAGAGTATTTACGTCAACAGGATATCATTCAGAAGTACCACGAGGGTAAGACTAACCACCGAGGTGCAGGTGAATGTTATCTTGCATTATCAAATAAATATTTTTGGCCTAAGATGAGAGATCATATCTCTAAATATATAAGTGAATGTAATATCTGTGGAATGGCAAAGTATGACCGTAATCCAATAAAACAAAAATATTCTATTGTACCACCTCCTACTAAGCCATTTGAAACAGTACACATTGACTTATTTACAGCTGAAAATGAGAAATATTTAACTTTGGTTGACGCATTCTCTAAATACGCACAGGCGTATCACCTTCGGGATGGTACAGCTGTAAGCGTAATACAAGCGCTACTTAAATATTTTACTCATCACGGTGTTCCCATAATGTTAATATCTGATCAAGGTCCTGAATTCACAAACCAAATATTCTTAGAATTTACTAGATTACATAAAATACAACATCATAAGACTTTAGCACATAATCCTAATAGCAATGGAATAGTTGAACGATTCCATTCGACTATTCTGGAACATCTACGAATTCTTAAATTAGAACATCGCAATGAACCAGCTGTCAATTTAATGCCGTACGCGGTACTAGGATACAATAGTTCTATCCATAGCTTTACGAAATGTAGGCCTATAGAAGTTATTACAGGTCACTTTGACCCACGTGACCCTATAGATACGAACATAAATGAACATCTTTTCCAACAGTACGTAATAAATCATAAGTTACGAATGAGTATGGTTTATAACATCATTAATGAAACATCTTTACACAATCGTACGGATATTACAGAGGCTAGGAATAAAGATCGAGAAATTGAAAATGAATATAGTCCAGATGAGCAGGTTTTCATTCGTAACCCTATGGCTAGCAGACAAAAATTAGCTCCACGTTTCACCCAAGATGTGGTACTGGCTGATCTGCCAATACACATATATACTAAAAAGAAAAGAGGTCCCATTGCTAAAGCACGCCTTAAGCGAAGACCTAATAGTAACCCGTTGTTACAGAACATTCCTGACGATCACATTACAACTGACCAGAGCGGAAGACGTAACACTTGACACCCTTGACAATGGACCAGGAATTCTTCCCTTCAACCTTGGACCCACAAAAGTCATTTCCCATTATCACTCATTTTTATACTACATAGACCTAGATGACATGTTCACAAAAATAGAATCAGTTATAAGTCAGATAGATAATTTTAATCCTCAACTTAAAAATAAAACGTTATCTCTCTATGAACCCCATCTCTTACATCTTAATAATAAGCTCATAAGAGTACGCGAACAGTTGCAAACTTTCTTACAGTCACGTAATAAAAGAGGACTCATAGATGGTCTCGGTTCAATAATTAAAAGTATTTCAGGTAATCTTGATTATTCTGACGCTGTGAAATATGACAGTGCTATAAAAGCTCTTCAAAATAATGAAAATAAGTTAGAAACAGAGTTGAATGAACACATTAGTTTAGGTAAAGAATGGATAACCGATCACTCTGTAATATTAAATAACATAGTAAAAAATCAGGATGAAATAAGTAAAACTATTAACCTAATACTAAAATCAGATGCAGACAGAGATACTGACTTAATAAAGTATGCGCATCTAGCTCAGTATCTATTGATGCTCACAGATAATACAGATAATTTGTCAGAAAATTTACTTAATTTAGAAAATACGTTAGCTTTTATTCAGACTAAGAGTATATCTCACTCTATAATTAATATTAATTCATTAAATAATATGCTAATTAAACTTAGACAACTTTATTCTAAGGAAAAGGTTATAGATATAGAATTAAGGGAATATTTTTACATTATAAAATCGGGTTCATATTATGTAGGAAATAAAATAGTTATAGTTATTAAGGTGCCGATTGTCTCTCCTAATACCTATATCCTGTATAAACTATCAATCATACCAAACCAACATAATCAAATACTTATACCTAACCAACCCTTCATAGCAATTCAGAGAACAGGTTCTATGTACATTGCGACAGAATGTCCGAAGTTAAGCACATACTACCTTTGTGAAGAACAGCTCCAGTACCAGTACCAGATTCGTGATAACCAAGACTGCATGCAACAGCTTATCCTAAAACAACAGGTCAGTCCTTCCTGTGACCTGACTTCAGTAAATCTTACCAGAGCAGCCCTCGAGAAGCTCGACGACCAGCACTACACCATGACACTACCTAAAGCAACTAGAGTACATATATCCTGCGGGCACGAGTACTACAAAATTCTTAAAGGAAGCTATCTAGTATCAATTCCTATAAATTGTATGCTGTCAACTCCAGATTTTACCATCTCTAACATTCAAGATAGAATTAAAGGACATGCCGTGCAGATTACGCTGACGGAAGTACCACATGACGAGCGTGCCACATCTAAACCTCAACCTATAGTAAGATTAAATTCTATCAATCTAGAACATCTTCACGAGACAAATGCTAGAATATCATTGCAGCAGCCAGCAATCTTAGAACAAGTCAATGTAGATAGTGTCTACCACACAACTATACCTATCTACACTATTATAGTAATCATCAGTGCAAGTTTTGTAACTATTAAATTATATCGCCGATTCCGTAGCTATTGCGGACAAATAAATTCAACTGATGTAATGGATACAGTGAACATTACAAATGAACAACCTGAGGTGAGAAATATCCAACCTAAAGATGTGAAGATCGACACTAACAGCATCCCGGCAACTTTCTCAGTACAGCTTACGAATAGTTGCCTATCTTCGAGGGGAGGCGTTACGAAATCATGAAACATTGAAAACGCTGTATAGGCAGCGGCCTCAATACGGCGCATCGTACCATGCGCCGAAACGTGCCGTCGAGTCAGCAAAACTGAAATGTTGAAATCGACCAAAGAACGCTATCGGAGTTGAATCACTCTTGGTTCTAACATCGACCAATTGGCATCTATAATAGTTAATAAGTTAAATTGTAATTTTTATATTTCAATTAAATTTAATATATAATATTTTTTGGTTTTTTTTGCGCCCTTCGGCTGTAGACTTTTTATCTTGCCCGCGGTTATTATTGTTATTATTTTGATGAATACACTAGAGGAAGTATGAAAGTGCCGCCGGTGTCAGAGAGGTTAAAGTGTAATCGTCTATCATGGTATGGGCATGTAATGCGTAGGAATGAAGATCGTATCTTAAGGAAGATCTTACATATGAATATGGATGGTTATAAGTGTAGAGGAAGACCGAAAAAGAGATGGATGGACTGTGTGAAAGATGATATGGTAAGAAAGGGAGTAAATAACGAGATGACTGCGAACAGGGATGAATGGAAGAGACAAACATATTACGCCGACCACAAATAAATGGGATAAGGAAGAAGCAGATGATGATGTATAAGCTATATTACTGTAAAGTTTCATTAAAATACATTCAGTAGTTTTTGCGTGAAAGAGTAACAAACATCCATCCACACTCACGAACTTCCTCGTTTATAATCTTCGTAAGATATATTGATTGATTATTATGAAGCAAAAACTTAAGAAAACTGTGCGGATGGAGGCGTGTGAAATTTCGTACTCTTATAGTTTACTAGCTATGCGCTCGGTTTCACCCGTCTGAAATTTATAGCCTATGTGTTATTCTGATGTATAAGCTATATCACTAAAGTTTCATCAAAATAGTTTTTGCCTGAAAGAGTATCAAATATCCATCCATACTCACAAACTTTCGCATTTATAATATTAATCATTACATAGTATATAACAAAGTCGCTGTCGCTGTCTGTCCCTATATATGCTTGAATCTTTAAAACTACGCAACGGATATTGAAGCGGTTCTTCTAATAGAGAGAGTGATTCAAGAGAAAGGTTTATATATATAATACATGTACCCCGTCCGAAGCCGGGGCGAGCTAGTAAGATATATATATCATAAATGACACGAACATTTATTCCAGATATGCATCGCAACAAGACGAGTCCTGAGCGCGTGTCAATGATGGTATTCGAACCCAAAGCCCCGCGTCGCCACGACAAGGGCGACTTCGACCATGCTGCCGCCGCCAACTAGCACCAAACAGCCTTTATATCCTCGGAAGAACTCTATATTTACAGGATAAAAAAAAGTGGTATCACGGTCGTCACATGGGGGCCGTTCAAGTATTACGGAAGCACTATGGGGGGGGGGGGGGGGGGACTTTATTTTGCTTATTTTGGATAACATGGGGGAGTGGGGGAATCTAGATGATGATTACGTCATCGGCAGTTATTTACTTTTTTTACACGAATGGCAACTCATTTGAGAGTTGCCATTCGTCGTTGCTAAAAAAACACATTAATTGAAAAATGTTTACGTAAGCATACAGGGAGGGATTACGAGCTCCGCTTACTTTTACTGACAAGGAGGATGGCGGCGGGGGATAAATAATTGTAATAAATCTGCTTACGGAGTACTTGAACGGCTGTATGATGATGTGATGTCAGTAGTGCTATTCTTGTATACAGGCGACGGCTACCACTTACCATCAATTCCAATTACATAATTCGCTGGTCTGATTCAGTTTTGGTAGTGTATTAATTTGATTGATGATTGAAACTAATGAATAAGAATTATGGAGTGGGTAATAATTGGTGCATAAAGAAATTATAAAAATTACTACTAAATGGAATACGAATTATATATATTAATAAATATACCATATAAATGTATAATGAACATTATATGTATATATAGTTTTATTATTTAATTAATTGATTAAAAAAATATTTAATTACTGCCAACACGGGTCTGATCGCAGTCGTGGGGAACATAAACCTAAGTGCCTAAAATATTAATTAATATGTAGGTAGATTATAATATTTAAATATATAATTTTAATACATATATGTCATGTACTAAACTATAGTCCAGACTAACTTACGGTTAACAGAACTTTCTAACTATATTTACATATACTCAATGAATTTAATTAAATAAATAGTCACAAGTAACTATGTTTGTTTTACAAAATAATAATTAATAAATAGGCTGAAGTTTATATGACTAAACAGATGCCTAACAATAGTTAATATTTAAAATAATATTAACAATTTGTAAATATTAGATTGGTATTAATATTTTGTCATAAACATATTACTACGTACGTATTTTTTATTTTTTCTGTTTAGAACACAATATTATTACAGTTGGACGGGTTTTAACTATGAGGTTGTTCGGAAAGTAATTTAGTTTTTTCCTAACTTAGGATTTCATTGTATTTTTTGCATTCAACTTCACACTTAAGCCGTATAATTTTTGCTTTTTGAGCTTTGAGAGCTCATATACTAAGGCTTGTGTGTGAAAAATTACAATTAATTCTACGCAATAGTTTTTGGTTGGTGCCCTTTTAAATATGGAGAGCAATAGGCAGCATTTTCGACATATCTTACTACAGAAAGGGCAAAAATGCTGTTCAAGCCAGAAAGAACAGCAGCGAAAAACGATATTACTTTCCGAACAACCTAATATATTTATCTTTGTTTTATATTTATTTCACTATAATAAATTTGATACAACTGGAATAAATCTAAAATTATAACGAAGATTGTGTTCAGAGTCATACAATTTCCTCTTTTTAAACATACAATAATAAGGAAACAATATTTTTCAACAAACTCGCTCGTAAAGTGGACCTAATTTCACCGGGTTTCGGTATGTATAGCGCTCATAAAACATGCGTCCTCTATAAACGCCAATAGCGAAGTTATATTCCATAATCGCATTATTTGCTATTTTTTTATAAAATTTCGAAGATCTCTGTGCGGTGTCAGCTAGTAGGCAGGGCGCTGATTGAAAAAAGTAAAACGGCGGGAACCGTGTGCATCAGTTTTAAGGTTGAGTTTATTTAAAATCAAGTGCGTTGAAAATCGTCGTACGACGTACGTGCGTATTTAACACACTCGGCTCGGAATTTCAGCCCGTGCCGTATGCGAAGGTGTAATACCTTCGCCTATGGCACGGGCTGAAATTCCACCTCGTGTGTTATAACTTTACGAGAGCTAGACAGCTAATTATCAAAGACAATGATGTAACCATCATAAGGCACTTAGTAAGCACGGTTTGATAAATATACCTGCAATAACCAACTATAAACTGTTTTTACGTCATTTTAAAGCTAATTACCAAAATTATATACAACCAGTGTTAGATTGAAAATTATAGAAAACTGAGCAATTGATCCCAGAATATCTACGGATACTCCCGTGTAAATATATACAAAAATAAACAGGGTATATAGTTTTCTAAATGTAGTTGTATATGTTATTATATTTAATGGGCACTTTGAGTAAATAATTTGAGACTTTATTATATTGTCATTAAAAATGTCATAAGTTTTCTCTTATTCATATTTCCCTGAAGCATTATTGTACAGAACAAGACGAAAAACAATACTTGTTTTGACTACAAAGCAAACAAGAATAAAAAAATAAAAAAGAAGCTCTGTATCCTAGATACTATAAAGTTCTATGAAATTAAATGTAATTTTATTGCTATACAATCTATACAAATATAAATTATGATAATATTAGATCTCAATTTATTTACACTATGGTTGCAATTAGAATATCACCTCGTTATAGAATATATAAAATGAATAACTAATTTAGTTTTGTATTTTGTGTACGCAAAAGTGATTCATAATAAAAAAATATAATATAATATACTCGTGTATTTTTGTTGATAACCTAACATCACTTACTAGACTTTAAGACCCGTTAAACTGTCTTGTTTTCTCAAAATACTATTATACTATACTGTGATATACTGTAGGTAGGATATTTCATTATTTATATTGTACCAATAACTTTCTATAGATTATTCAGTATATATAGAAGTAATTCTAAAGTTCACAATACTTCCCGTATTAGTACGTCAAAACTATACTAGATGGCGCTGCAAACAAACGTTAACAAAATTATACTGGACTAACCAATAACCGTAATGTCGTCTACTGTTTTTTAAATAAAAGGTAGCATGCGTCGACCCTAGTGACACAGTCTATGTTCACGTCGAATTCTATTAAGACTCATTCAGCAGTCTAGAAGTAAAAAGGTGACAAACAGACAAACTAAAATGCGCGGCCACGTGATTAGCTGAATATGTAAACTTAAAAAATAATATAATACTAGTAGTATTATGCGCACTGCTTCATCCGCGTGAAATTTATAGCCTATGTGTTATTCTGATGTATAAGCTATATTATTGTAAAGTTTATTAAAATCCATTCAATAGTTTTTGGATGAAAGAGATAAACATCCATCCATCCATATAGAAAACTTCCACGTTCATAATATTAAGTAAAATTTATACATTGTTTTCTAAAACAGAGTGATGCCGAGTCAGGTACTAATGCAATAAAACATCATAAGTCAGTACAATAATTTAATTCAATATCTGTTTAAATTTACATAGTTATATGGCAGTGTAGTTATAAAGAATAAAATTTCTAACAATGTCAGTTGTTTGTTCAGTTTCTATTAAATTAAAATTACAATTGCCTATGTGATCTAGACTATTTGTTAGCAATTCGGTTTCACATTATTGTCCAATTGTTAAAAATTTTGTCTAATTGAAGCTAAACCTGTACTCACATTATTCGGTTCAGTCGGATGACAGTTCCATGTATCTGTTCTAATTGGTGCGTTACGAAAAGGGGCGTGGCGTAGTGTCAAATGCACCAATCAAACGGTACTCGCATAGGAAAATCGTCCGACAGAACCTCAAAGTGAGAGGCCAGATTTAAATATAAAATTATAAAATAATTAACTATTTTTTTTGGCTTTTTTATTAGACATTTAGTATGTAGTATAAACTATCCTTAGTACAGAGCTATTTTGTGCTGGACTTTAATTAAACTGTATTTTAACATGTAATTAAAACATACAAAAACATTTTTGGGAAACATTAGGAAAAATCACGGGAATATACTGTGAGTATAGTTTGTCCAGATGAGTATTGAGCGAGTTTCAATAGTAGCAAAAAACAAGGACGTATGAAGGTAGACGAATATGTCTGGTTATAAAATATTTTGTTTACCATCTACCCTTTGCTCTTCAGTTTACCCGTGATCATGGCCGTTGAAACACTGTCAGAATATCCGGAACTCAATAAAAATAAAAAAACGTGGTAAGATCCCGTAACTTTTCATAATTGTATGTATAAATATAAATTAAACAAAAGAATATTTAATATATACCGAAACTCTTTTCTCTACTTCTGACGGTACAAGATACAGATAAGAAATATCACAAAGACACGTGTAAAAGATGAGATCGCAGTCACTGGGCTAGCAGTGGCTAATTTTATCTAAAATAGCCTAAGAGCTAATAAACCCTGGTTACTTCGTCTTATGCCTTTATGATTAACCAAGCAAGACTAACAAATACTAGGGGTACTGCCGCTCAAAATTCTCTGAAAATACTAAAACAAAGAAAGAATTACACAAAGTTTAATTTTATTATAATTTAGTATAGTATTGTAGTAGCTTTTTATGTTCTTTTTAATAAATCAGTATATTTGTTGTCAGAAGACCATGCTAAGGGTTCACAAGCTTTTAGACTATAACAAATATTGTTTATCTTCTTCACGCCAGCGTGGAGAATACACATAAAATAATAATACATAACCTTAACGCTGTTTACTAATAATAATTTATTTTCTCAAAACACAGTATAAAAATGAAAAATTACATGGTAAGAACGTGTGTATGAACTAGGGCTTATGCCATCCTTAATCATTAAAAAAAACTGTCTATTGTCTAATAAATATAATTGGTACAATCACGTGCAATGTATATAAGTATCATATAATATAGCGTCAATCTGAATCCATTGCACGCAATTGTACAGTCAAATATAGCTTAATATAAATTAACTTTCTATGGCATTTCTTCAATCTGAATCAATAAATGCATATGTCTATTTTAAGTAATTAAAATGCACCTTTACATAGTATAAAATAAAGTCGCATCCGCTGTCTGTTTGTTTAGATCTTTTAAACTACGCAACAGATTTTAAATCAGCGAATTTTAGCAATAGATAGAGTGATTCAAGATGATTTGTAAGGTTTATATGTATAATACTTGTACATCCGCGCGGAGCCGGGGCGGGTAGTTAGTTTAGAATAAATTACTTATTCGTATACATGAATAAAATAAACGCGGTACGATATACCGTACTTCGGTTCCTAATGTCGCTTGATTAAAAAAATGAAATTCAACTTTATATCGTTGAAATGACGGTTAAATTTGAAAAAATCTATTAAATTGTTTTAGTTACAGTTATTATCCGCTAGGGCGGCGTTACGTTACCTTTCGAGGCAGTTTTTTTTTCTAAATTTTATATGAGCATTTATTAGTCGAAATATCAGATTGAGCTACAAATTGACAATTTGTACAAACAATGAGCATTTTATGTTATTCAATTTGGCGTACAATATAGACTAAAAATCTGACAAGTTAATTTGCCAAGAACACTATTTGTAAATATAGAGAAGCATCCATTAAATAAATAAACGCTTCGAAAAACAACGTGATAAATACATATATTTTTAATTTAAACAAACATAAATGTTACTTTACAGTAGGTATTTTTTTATGTTTTCACTGGATATAAAAAAGTTAACAATTTAATGTTTTCAATTTAATGAAACAATTAAACATATAATAGTAACTCTCATTGGGCATTGAGTCAATAAAAATTTCACTCGAAACGATGGTGTATGGTTTATCATAAATTATAGAGAATTTGATGTTACAAACTTTCTCTGCACGCATTTATATGATAAATGTACATATATAACTAATATATAAAATTAATAATGTACTGGCTAGTAGAGAATTGTTTTATATGTGAACATGTCCTTTTTTTCGGACTAGGTACTATAATGCTGTTGGTTGCAGTTGGTCTTTACAGCTTCACCGGACGATAGGGTCGACTGCAGATGGCACTGCAACCCGCGGATGGACTTATGGAGCGGCTGAAGGCCAACTCCCGCCTCACGGGTACGACTTTAGTCCGAGGGCACCGCTAAGGTTTTTAACGGCTAAGGATGTCGTAATTTCGATCCCCGTTTGAATTGGACGGGGAATCGATTGGAGGGGAAATATTACAGCAAATCCTGCAAAATTCTTTTTTCAATATATATGTACATTTTTACGAAAATGCATTATAATTTTAATAACATCGTAGACAAAGATTTTTTTGTATCTACTTACATGTAGTATATAATTTGTGTCATATATATTCAATATATAGTATATGTAATTCTCTATCTACGCCCATCGTCGAGTCAGTCATGGTAAGGACGTGGTAGGAACTTGTAAATTAAACAACAACTTAAAATTAAATGTAAATGCATATAGGAGTGTTTCTATAACATTTATACATAGACATGTAAAACATTTATTTGAAATGAATACGAGCTGAGTTTCTTGTCAGTTCTTCTCATCTCGAAATCATTCCGAACTGATAGATTTGACATATCATAAGTCTGTAATAGACCTACATGAATAAAGATATTTTGAATTTGAATTTGAAAAGACAATATTATAATGAAAAATAGTATTATGTAGTCATTGATTTATACATATATTCTTTGTTATAATGTGACAGAATTCTTTATTTTGTGACTTAAAGGTGGATTTACATTTTACTAATGTTACGTGACATGACGCGTCAGAACGGTATCGGTTTAGTTCATTTAGTACATTCATACTAGCAATGCGTGTTGTGTTGTGTAGGCTTCTGTTCTGTCTTATCAGAAACGCTTCCAGTTGAGTAAGAGCGGAGGTGTGGGGGAGCGGGGCGTGACACGTCACACAAGTGTGTCATGTTGTGTTGTGACGCGTCGGAGTCCCTGTATATTGTCATGTAGGTACAATTTCGTAGAACATTGTATGTCACCTTTCCTAGAGATACGGCTGTAATGATTCAAAATATCGTCAGAAGGCGTTAGAACATCACTACATAGTATAAAACAAAGTCGCTGTCGCCGTCTGTACGTCCTATGTATGTTTAAAACTTTAAAATACGCAACGGATTTTGAACCGGTTCTTTTAAAAGATAGAGTGATTCTAGAGGAAGGTTTATATGTATAATAGTGAAAAATAAATGTGAAAATTAGTCATCACTCCATGACACGACATGTCACCATACATCAGACAAATATAGATCCACCTTAAGGCGATGTGCCTTAAAAAAGTTTACATCTTACACGGCCTTACATCCTATGGTCGCGGGGTCAATTCCTCGCACTATACATTCATTTGTATTCATAAATATGATTGTTTGTATCGGTCTGGATGCTTTTCATGTATAATGTATTGTACAATTAATAAATAAAAAAAAAATATTATGCATTTATTAAAAAAAAATCTATGTGTTTATGTCTGTTGTCTAGTACCTTACATCAACAGTCAGTACCCATAACACAAGTTTTGGTTAGTTTGGAACTAGATGGCGCTGTGTGAGTTGTCTTGAGATGTTATATTATTATTAATGGAATAATAATCGTCATGTTTGGTACAAGGTGAGAAAGGTAGAAAGTTCTGTCTAACTTTATAGTCTTACATAACTTAATATATATATTCATACAAATATTATTATATTTAACGGATAGCCCATGAAGATTACAGTTGAGATTTTATATATTTCAATGTATGACTGAAAATTAGCTAAATTAAAAATAGATTTCGCATAATCATGTACAGCTAATATAAAAAAGTAATAAAGTCGAGATTACGTTGTAGAGAGAAAGGTTGTCATTGTGTGGGATAGATCATGTCCAACAGTGGACAATATTGAACTATTAGAGTAATTTTTTATTATATAACAGTTGCTTGCAATTCTCAATTGCAATAGTTAAAAATTATGAGATTTCGATTTTGTACGAAACATTTGAAAATTGTGATTCCAAAGTACCAGTAAGTACCAGTACCAGGTAAGAATGGGGCTCTACCCAAAACCGAAAAATATGGCAAGGGGTACACGATACAAAAAAGTTTGGGAACTTCTGGTTTAAACAGTTGAACCATTTTTTTCATGACACTGGAATGCTAAGCAACCGTCGCCTATATATATTAACAGTACCACGAACATCACGTGATCGTATCGCTCACATAGTACAACACTTGCTTAAAATCCATTGGGCTGTCAGATTATTAGCCGTACATAAAAAGATATGTATACGTAAATAAATAATACATATATATGTATACGTGTATTAGTAAAAAACTGATGCTCTTAACATATGACGTGAAATTATCATATACGTAACATGTTTTTTACATTTATTCTTACACTAACTGGATACAATTCGATATTCTATTAAATTACAGAATTCGAGTATTATAACACTAATATTTACATAACATGTGACCATTTTGTGTCAATTGTAAACAATTAATCAAATAAATATGTTTAAAACTAATTAATTTAGTTAATTAATACATATTTTTTACATATATTATTTATTTTATAAATTTAACAAACCCTATTTTCGATTACTTAAAATCGAGTCTATTAAATTTTGAAAATAAATTTAAATATATACAATATTATGCTGACTGATATCCCAGATGGGGTAATCAGAGGAATTGTCATCTGTCAAGGTAGTCGTGAACGCAACTTTTGACTCACTCTCTAATGAGAGAAGGCGATGCGAAGGTTTTCTCAATATAATTTAATTTAGTTATAGTGAAAACTGTTCATAAGAATTTAAAAGATTTAACACCAGCCTCCCTTATTCCACCAATATTCAGGCCGATAATCTAGACCCTTGTCTACTTGAGGAGTCATCATCCAAACTGGGACGGTTCCGTCGGTTATCGCACTTCCGTTGGTGCTGTCGTATAACCTCACCGAGTTTATCTAGCAGAAACTGCTTGTCGTGCCCTTCTAGGACTAGCTGATTCCTCAGCACCGTCACCATATGTCTATTAGCCTTTGCCACTGCCCAATAATAATACAACAATAATAATAAACCAGCAAACGCTGGTACGGCGAACGTGGAAGTACCTATTAAGAAGATTGCCTTCCTGAAAAAGTCTGGGAATTGGTTGAAAGTCGTTACAACATACTCCCATACAGTACTGTAGCCTCGGTAAGGACCACAATTTCTGGATGGTGGAATTTCTGCTACTGAATAAGCTACAGGTGCAATAGATACTATAAATGCGAACAATAATACGTACATAAATAGAGATTTAGATTTCGACGCTCTGTATACTACAGGAGAGGGCGTACAATTAGTTAAGCATGTAAACATTTTGATATAAAATATTAGGATGTAAAATATAGCCCCTATAATTGGTAGGAACGGACAGGAGAACGAGCCCATCCATATAATTGTTTGTATATATACAATGTCTAAAACATGCTTGGGCAAGTAGAACTCTTGTTCGCCGATTAGTTTGAAGAATCGATTCCTGGTGTGGCGGGCTAAGAACGCTCTGGGAAAATTTATTAGGAATGTAATAATGAATTGAACGACTAAATCTGTTAGTGTCAATTTGTAGAGTTGCTGACCTACGTAAGTCTCCCAGCATTCGTGACCGATTTGGTCCTTCATATTATAAGAACAGAACACATTTTCTCTAGTGTACATATATATTTGACTTAGCAGAACAAATAATGATGACAACCTTAAAATAACAGTCCTCAATAACGTCGCGATGAGGACAGTAGCTGGGGTGTAATATTCAAATTTGACTAAATAACTGAAGATTTCCGGGACAATTATATTTAATACAACTATACAGAGAAACGGTAGGAATTCTAGGAGAGTAACACGTAATTGTCCAACGAAACTCTCTTTGTATTTACGCAGGGTTTCGCTTTTGTCTAAACTCAATTGGGTGAAACTTAGCCTTTGTGCAGTTCGATTCGGTGACATGGCATAGTCACTTTGTGACGCCATATCATTCAACTGGTCTAGTGAATAATTATATACCTTATAAATGAGATATCCGGACGCGCCTAATATAATAGAAACAATAATATGGACAAACAATCGTTTAAAATGTATTAAGATTCGGTTCTCTTTTGAACGTAACTGTCTTTCTTCTATAAACCTTTGCTCCTGCAGAGATCCTTTTATTTCGTTGAACAGTGCTTTGTGTTTAATTTTAGCTGACTTCTCATTATGGATACAAAAATCCCAGCCACCGAACATCAAATTACAAAACTTGTAGAACTGACCTTCGCTTTCCACCAGCTTTTCTTTGAGTCCTTTCGCAGCTGACCTGACTACAGAAATGAGACAGAACAATGCCCACGATATAGGAACTAGTATGTACGCTAGCGGCATATTGTAGTAGAATAATGTATCCCATAGACTATAATTATATATTTGGTTGCTATAAACACCGTAGAATAGTATAGTGCGTTCCATCCACCCTGTGCCTTGTATAACATCAAGTATCACACTGGAGTCCGTAGAATTTCTATCTAGATACGCTTTTGAGCAGCACACGGTTGAGTTCTTGTCGGTATCTTTACAATTATCTTGTTCTTCGTTTAGCAATACTGTTGGCAAGATAGTAAATAGAATAACTACTATAGACACGAAGATGTTGAGGAAAAGAAGCCACCTGATAAACAGGAAATAGGAGACGACTCCAGTGCCGAAGTTACCCTCGATCTTCCGCATCGCAGACTGCCACAGCTCCAGTTTGCCGATGATCTCACCGAATCGTATGCGGAAGCGATGCCACACCTTCCTCTGCTTCCAATGCAGGTGTTCCAGACCTTGCAGACGGAGTTTTGTTGCGTTCTATAAATATATAATTTCAGAATAGTTCATAATTTATGTTAAAAGAAATAAAAATCTTGGCTGAATCTGCATCCTGAATGAACAAAATGACGGTTCGTAACACAAGAACAAAAGTTCGTAGCATTAAGTTTAAATAAATTAATATTAAATAGAATACATTTGTATTGAAGTATCGTTATTTTTAAAGCTGGAAGCCTGATATTTATTTTTTAGGCTGTTGATTAAATATAAATAAATATGACATTCAAAGTTTGTAAAAATTTTACACTTTAGGTAGTAAAATAAAATAGTGAATGAAAGTTGGTATGGCATGGTTGTGTGTTATTTGTCATTTTTTAAGCTAGAACGATGAAACTATTTTCTTTGGCTTTCTTGGGTCAGATTATTAAATATTTTATGCTATGCAAGGTCTTTATTCCACGCGCATATCATTGCGGGCACAGCTGGTTAAATACATATGTGGTTATTAACTATACTTACCTGAAGTCTCGCCTTCATCTCCCGCTTCTCCATCATTGGGACTGGCATTGCTTTTATTTGCATGATTTCATCCCACGTCCGTTCTTCGTTCGACAGATTTTCTAGAAAAGAAAATTATGTATAAATTATTAATTTTATTATTAAACTAGCTGTTCCCGCGGCTTCGTCCGCGTGGAATTTAATTTATTTTTTCTAAAATAAAAGTAGCCTAAGTTACTCCTTATTACATCAGCGACCTGCCAATAAAAGTCCCGTCAAAATCGGTTCAGCCATTTCACAGATTAGCCGGAATAAACAGGCAGACAGACAGGCAGACAAAAATTGTAAAAAATACTTTTTGGTGTATGTGCCATATTTATATTCATATGCACGTAGTTTTACTACGGTTATTTCAATATTACAAACAGACACTCCAATTTTATTTATATGTATAGATAACTACGAAATAATTACGATTAGATAGTGCGCGTTCTCAGGCGCGCTATCCGCCGCAGTACAGGTCCAACGTTGGCAATGGCCGGGGACTGACTGACTTGGTCTAACTCTGATACAAAACAATTTGTCTTTCTCATTTTGTTTGTTTGTCTCAATTTGTTTTTCTCAGGCGCGCTAGCACACGTCCGACCTTGCAATAAATAGCTGGGGACTAACTGACTTGGTCTAACTTTCAGTGACTCTCATACAAAACAACTTGTGAGCAAGAGAATTTGTGCGCTACATGCGCGTTCTCAGGCGCGCTAGCACACATCCGACCTTGCAATAAATAGCTGGGGACTAACTGACTTGGTCTAACTTTCAATGACTCTTATACAAAACAACTTGTGAGCAAGAGAAATTGTGCGCTACATGCTCGTTCTCAGGCGCGCTAGCACACGTCCGACCTTGCAATAAATAGCTGGGGACTAACTGACTTGGTCTAACTTTCAATGACTCTTATACAAAACAACTTGTGAGCAAGAGAAATTGTGCGCTACATGCGCGTTCTCAGGCGCGCTAGCACACGTCCGACCTTGCAATAAATAGCTGGGGACTAACTGACTTGGTCTAACTTTCAATGACTCTTATACAAAACAACTTGTGAGCAAGAGAATTTGTGAGCTACATGCGCGTTCTCAGACGCGCTAGCACATGTCCGACCTTGCAATAAATAGCTGGGGACTAACTGACTTGGTCTAACTTTCAGTGACTCTCATATAAAACAACTTGTGAGCAAGAGAATTTGTGCGCTACATGTGCGTTCTCAGGCGCGCTAGCACATGTCCGACCTTGCAATAAATAGCTGGGGACTAACTGACTTGGTCTAACTTTCAGTGACTCTCATACAAAACAACTTGTGAGCGGAGGATTGTGTGGGGAAAAACAGTTTATCTTGTAGTTTAAAATAAATAAAAAACTATTGGTTCTTATATACATCTGAATGGTTCTATTTAAGTGTGTTTTAGTATAATGTATATTGGAAAATTCGAGTCTTAAATCAGTCCCGTTTTCTTATACAAATTAAATATATATGTTATAAGACCAATCTTTGAGATTATTTCTCTGCTGCAAAAGTTAATCAATCATCAGTGTATATGATGTCGTAGATGTGAAAAATGAAATACCTAAATATCAGCCCCGATTTGTTATTGGTGAGAAAAACTGAGATTTCTAACGTCAATATTTGCGATGCGTCGTCTTAAATTTCGTTGTTGTTACCAATATATTTTGGTGTATAATTATATTACATACACCAAAATATTTTTTTTACAAGTTTTGTCTGTCTGTCTGTTTGTTCCGGCTAATCTCTGAAATGGCTGCACCGATTTAGACGGCACTTTTTTTTGGCAGGTAACTGATATAATAAGAAGTAACTTAGACTAATTATATTTTAGAAAAATAAAGTTAAATTCCACGCAGAAGAAGTCGCGGGTACAGCTAGTTGTTAATAAAGATGCCATTTCGGAAGACTAGCCTGTTACTCACGCTTTAGTGTACCTACTGCTTAATTCTGCAATTATATTGCGAATCAATTTAGTTTGTTATCGGTAATATTCAGATTTGAACTGACGACCTATCGGCGATCCCAACCGCTACGATTAGCAGTTAACAATGAAGCCACTTCATTATAACTGTGTTTATAAACACAATACACTTTATGACTAAACAAGTGACCCCGGGTGAAGATAGCTATCTTTAGAACCAGTAGCATCTCAGCAATTATCATCCAGTTATTAAACGAGTTTAATGAACTAATAAGTCATAATTTCGATCTAGACTGACTCGGTTTCCAGTTCAATGTTCTTAGTTAACTGTAGTGCATGTTTAACTGTAATTAAAGGTGTTTTTAATGTTCCCAAAGTTGAGTGTAATATAGTTTCCATGTTTTCCTAGGACATGTACTAGTTTTTGTATCATCAGATATCTTGAATAGGGTTTTAAATTTCAAATATCGTGCATATTTCATAACTATTTCACGACGTATAGTTTAGGGAAAGGGAAGTTAGGTTAATCACATTATTATTTCAGATGATAATGGAATGGTTCACCCGCCTGCGCTAACGACTAACGCTGGAGGGACACCAGTAGAGGATGATAAGATTAGCATGAGGTCAGGTCAGGTAGCCCATCGTGGTAAATTTTTTTTTTGTTATATTCATGTAGGACATTTTAGCCGCTTATGAACGTCAAATTTTTACATTATAATTTTATTTTTTCCCTACCGTTCACTTTGAATTCACTATGAATTTATCACGATCGTGTCTTGTGTTGTGAGGATGGCGACTTGGGTTTTATAAAATAATAAAAGCGGACGACAACATTCAGAAATAATCTAAGCACAGAGTACGAAATAATAAAATATTTTTTTCTAAATATTAAGTATTTGGATACTCTAACAGATGGTTTCCAGGGTGAACCGCGTGGAAGTCAACCTGATATTGTACATCGCTACCAATAGGGTTAGGCTACATTACTAACAATCCCCTTCTAAAATTATACGTATTAAATATGCGCGAAGAAAACTCAGGACGTTGCTTAAAAATTTTTCACTCCACGTGGTTTCCTGGAAACCATCGTGGTAAATTGCCATTTGCCAAGATGGGCTTAGTGATTTGACATCATGCTCATTTTATCATTCTCCACTGGTTCCTCGCCAGCGTAAACCATTAGCGCAGGCGCGAGCACTATTCCATTATCCTCCAATAAAAAAACATCTATAATTTTATTCGAATGTTTTTATTAAAACAGTATGATTATTTAAATTACTTGAATTTAATTTAACTTACTTTCACTGTGTATTAATTTGACATTTATTACTTATTATATCTATACTAGCTGTGCTGGATGGACTGTGTGAAAGATGATATGGTAAGAAAGGAAGTAAATAACGCGATGACTGCGAACAGGGATGAATGGACAATTAACACACATCTGCACAAGTAACCAAAGCTTGTGTTATGGGTACTAAACAACTGAAGCGAAAAACATATTACGCCGACCCCAAATAAATGGGATAAGGAAGAAGCAGATGATGATATCTATACTAGTTGCGCCCGCGGTTTCACCTGCGTTAAATTTCAATATAAAATACAGCCTTACAGCAAGCAGCAACAAAACACAAAGGGAGCGTTCTGATAGGAGCGCACACCCATCCAATTTAAATACGCAACGTAACGTACTGATTTTAAAAAGTCAACCGATCGATCTACCGTACCTTCGTTAATTCCACCAAAATTGTAATTTATAATAGTATTTACGTATTAAATTGATGAATATAAGCAAATTATATCATTTCTACAACCCGAATCTACTGAAGCCATCATGTACTAACATTTATTCATTCGAGCCGCATCATCACGTACACGTGTTTTTAACTTATATTGTACAACTAGTAGTTCCCGCGACTTCGTCCGCGTAGAATTTAAATTTATTTTTCTAAAATAAAAGTAGCCTAAGTTACTCCTTATTACATCACCTGCCAAAAAAAGGACCGTCAAAATCAGTTCAGCCATTTCAGAGATTAGCCGGAACAAACAGACCGACAGTCGGACAGACAAAAATTATAAAAAATGTTATTTTGGTATATGTACCGTATATATAGTCATATGCATGTAGTAAAAAACGGTGATTTCAATATTACAAACAGACACTCCAATTTTATTTATATGTATAGATGTATAGATTGTAGAATTATTCATTCTAAAGTTACATATATGTTATAATTTGATAACCTGATAAGGTTATCAAATTATGACGTCATTAAGTTACATATTGTACCTGTTATATATTTAAAAAGATGTATATACATGTATTATTTTGATAGTCTTGGTGGTATAGTGGGTTATTACACCGCCTTACTTTCGAAGAGTGTGTTCGATTCCTCGCCCGATACTAACATTATATGAGTTCATGAGTATATTTGTTTGTAATAGATCTAGACTAAATTCAATAACCAATAAGAAAGAAACAGTAATCGTCACAGAAAGTTTGCTATAGTAAATGAGTTTAACTCTTATTCAAATAAATAAGCAGTTTGAAGTATAGGTATGTACGAACAGACAAATATTTAAAATAAACTAAGTTAATCGGTAAAATAATTGTTTGCGTCACAACTAGTTTAAATGCACATCTCGTGTAATAGACAAGGACAGACATACTCACAGACAGACAGTGGATTATAGATAGAAAAGATACTTTTTGATTGATGTATACTAAATGTATATATATTCTAATATATATAAAGAAATAAAATAATTTAGTAAATTCAGAAAGAAAAATATAATATCACTTTTCACAAACAATCTGAGGAACGAACTATCAAAATTATAAAACATATTACTTTTAAATATAAAAAGTTTAACGAAAGAGGATTCATAACAACCGGTATAGCAGAATATTGTATTGACATAGTTATGTCACATGTAAAAAAACATATAATATTATAAAAAAACATAGATAATAAAAAAAGGTATAAAAAATAGTTCGCAACAGGTGGACTTACGCTGCGACAGGTGGCAGTTAGAGAAATTACAATACAATAATGTATTATTTAGGAAAAATAAAAGAAAATTACGTGTATATATAGTTTATATTAAATATTTGTTGTATACGAGTTGTAACAGTATAAAATTAAAAGTTATACACAAATGTGAGCAAGGGTGGGCTTACTCGTAACTCTGAAAGAGATGTCTTTCAGACAACCTGACGCTGCGCAGGGGTGATAGTTATTAGGCAACTAGTGTTTGAGAAATTACAATACAATAATGTATTTTATATGTACTAGAAATTACAATACAATAATTTATTTTATATGTGCTAGAAATTACAATGCAATAATATATTTTATATGTGCTAGAAATTACAATACAATAATGTATTTTATATGTGCTAGAATTTACAATACAATAATGTATTTTATATGTGCTAGAAATTACAATACAATAATGTATTTTATATGTGCTGGAAATTACAATATAATAATTTATTTTATATGTACTTACCGGATAGATCGGGCAACATGGACAGGTGTATATCACGACTCTGCGTGGTACGAGCGTACGTCGACTGTCTCCTTTCATTCTGGGATCGCACGCGCTTCACTGTTGTGGCTGAAACATTGTTTTTTTTATTAATATCTTTTACGGCTTCGGATACGAGCCTTTCCTTTTTAGCCCAACTCAATGTTTTATAATATAAATTACAAATATTAAAGTCAATGTCAAATAATAATAAATGTCAAATGTCTATCTATGGTTAGTGTTGCCAGGTTCATTGTCATAGATAAAACGCGGGAATAATAAACCAGTATAAGTTTTATGTGCTCTGTAAAAAGAAAATCAAATTTAGCTAATTATGATTAATTTCTCATTGTTTATGTACTATTTACATTAATTAAACTAATTGTGAACCACTGCAATAATACAAATGTATTATTGCAGTGATTCACAATTAGTTTTTGCTGCGCACCACTTCAAAAAAGACCTCAAACCTTGCGTACCCCTTATTGTAGCAATCACACTAATATTATAAACTAGCTGTTCCCGCAACTTCGTCAGCGTGGAATATAATTTTATTTTTCTAAAATAAAAGAATTTTTCAAAATAAAAGTACCCTAAGTTACTTCTTATTACATCAGCTACCTGTCAAAAAAAGTCCAGTTAAAATCGGTCCAGCCATTGCAGAGATTAGCCGGAACAAACAGAACGACAGACAGACAGACAAAAATTGTAAAAAGTGGTTTTTTGGTACCGTATTTATATTCATATGCATGTAGTAAAAACGGTTATTTCAATATTACAAACAGACACTCTAATTTTATTTAAATGTATATATGTGAAGTTGATGAGTGTGTATGTACGTTTGTTTTACTGATAGCCGCACGTACCCCTTGCTGCAACTTCACGTACCCCTGGGGGTACCCCCACCACCACTAATACCCCCACCACCGCGCGTACCACTAATTGGGAAACAACGTAGTGTTGTAACTAATTCAGCTTTTTTTTCGGACTACTCTAATGCAGCTGGCCTTTACAGCTTCACCGGACCATAGGGGGCGAGTGCAGATGGCACTCCACACCGCGGAAGGACTTACGGAGTGGCTGAACAACTCCCGCCTGGCCTTGCACAAAGGTTGCGATTTGATACGGAAAACGTTTAAATTGATTTAATGGGTTTCTCTCTATTCAAATTTTATTATTTTAAAGAACTGAACGGCACTATATCTAGATATATCCTATCCTAAACTTATTAGGTAAATAAAACCCAAAGTTACTACTAGTATAAGTATGTATAGTTCACTATTTCTAATCTCTAAGAAAACAATAAGTTTACATGATAAAATGTTACAAGTGTTATCATATATTGCAAAAAAAATCTTGTCACCACATTTTAGAACTTCATTACATACATCATAGTAATACGACTACAAGTTTTTCCTTAATCCATTTGGTTATTTTTAGATTTTTTTCATTGTTATCTTCTATTTCCCCCTCAATAATAAAATTGATCTATTTATTTATCGTGCTGTATCAAGTGAATTCAGACTTAGATTGAGGGATGAACTACCTGCCGAGGTTTTGTTCATACATTATTAACACAATCTAAATATATATAACTCAAAGGTGACTGGCTGCCATAGTGATCTATCAACGCACAGCCCAAACCACTGGACGGATCGGGCTGAAATTTGGCATGCAGGTAGATGTTATGAAGTAGGCATCCGCCAAGAAAGGATTTTGATTAATTTTATCCCCAAGGGGATAAAATAGGGGATGAAAGTTTGTATGAAGCTTTGTCAATTTTAAACCGATCGGGACTTTGCATTCATAAAGCTACTATGACATAGGGATCCCCTAAGAAAGGATTTTGATAAATTCCATCCCCTAAAGAGATAAATTACCGCGAGCGAAGCTGCGGACAAAAGCTAGTAAGATATAAAATTGGTCAAGGTTTTCATCCTCACACGCTGGAACCTTAGTGGTCTCGAACAGTGCGGTTTCAGAGGAGCTTCCTACCGCGTACACTTACGTAGTGGAATGAATTACCTGCCGAGGTTTTCTCTAGAGACATACCTTCACCACTTTTATACCTTATTAACACAATACGGTATAAAATTGGTGAAGGTATTCATCTACACACGCTGGAACCTAAGTGGTCTCGGACAGTGCGGTTTCAGAGGAGCTTCCTACCGCGGACACTTACATTATGGAATGAACTACCTGCCGAGGTTTTCTCTAGAGACTACAGCATGGTGTTTTTCAAGGGTATATTAATTTCTTAAGGGTCGGCAAGCCGCTCGTGACACCCTTGGTGTTTTAGGCGTCCATAGGTAACCCATTGGTGGACAGTGGTAATTAAGCATACGGCCCATCTGATGTATCATCAGATGGGCCGTATGCTTAATTACCACTGTCGTAGTATAAAAGAATCAAGTGTCCCAACATTTCCCCGTCTATTTTCAATAGTATTTGTGATGTTTCTTTTCATTTTGTGGTATTTTTCTTTATAATTGTAATGGCAAACAAGCCGTTGAATCCGTGATATCAATCAGGCGTTGCCATACCAGAGACTAACATGTATGACTCTTATCTTGTAATGTGCTGGTTCATATTTTAATCTTAATTTATATATTACCTAGCTACTCGCCCTGGCATCGCACGGGTGTACATGCATTATATATATAAACCTTCCTCTCGAATCACTTTATCAATTAAAAAAGCCGCTTCAAAATCCGTTGCGTAGTTTTAAAGATTTATGCATACATAGGGACTGGACAGACAGCGACAACGACTTTGTTTTATACTATGTAATGATACGTGAGGCAAAAACTTTGTGCGTCTTTTTACAAAATTGTGCAGATGGAGAAATATGACATTTCAAACACTTATAGTTTATATAGAGGAGTGCAGTAGATATACTAATATTTTTATTTTTAAATTGTGCATAGAAAATACATTAAATCAATAAAAAAAACATTACACACTACCATGTATTTGACACACACTCTTTTGTTTATAGTTGGTCTATGGTCAAATTGAGAATAGATTAATGTTGCCTTGAATATTATTTATCTATAGTCTTACTGAATATCAAAATTACCTCTGTGATTATAAAATTATAGTTTTTGAAATGAAATGAAATTAATATTTATTGCTTAAAAATGTGGTACATATGTGGTTTAAAGATCTATTAGTTTCACACATGTCATTTCTGACATACAACAGACAAAACAAATGTAATTTTTGGTTATTCTTATAATTTGCCATTATTTATAACTAGATCTGCCCGCGACTTCGTCCGCGTAAATTGTCGATACTTCCATATAACCTTTCATCCCTTTCAACCCTTTTTTCGGATTAAATAGTAGCCTATATCCTTTCTCAGGTTCTAGACTATATGTGTACCAAATATCATTTAAATCGGCTCAGTAGTTTTGGCGTGAAAGCGAGACAGACAGACAGACAGAGTAACTTTCGCATTTATAATATTAGTAAGGATAGAACCATAATGCTCAAACTTATTATTTAAATTATTTATGGTCGAATTTTGACCACTGGTCGACCACTTTAATGATAATTATTACTTACTATTCCTGGCCTGTTTGGAGGGCAACAGCGTCGCCAATTTAGTAGCATCAGCTCTGTGCAGGTTCTCGATCAGATCCTGCTCCTGACCAGGGTACAGTTCCTGGTAGAACTCCCCGCCAGCCTCCTCCCATCCTTCCTGACGTTTGGAGGAGCGCTTATTCTTGGATGAGTTACCACCCGACATTGTTACTGCATTTTAACTGTAACAAAATGGACACAATAAATAATAATAAATAACTAACTCTGGACAATTAACACAACGCCATCTAGTCCCACAGTAAACAGAGCTTGTGTTATGGGTACTAGACAACTGATATTAATACTTACATACTTTTTTTGCAAATACATACTAATATACATAGAAAACACCCAGACCGGTTCAAACAGTCATACTCATGAATAGTTTGCACCGTTCGAGGAATTGAACCCGCGACCATCGGAAATGCGATGTGCTAAATCACGAAGGTCAAAGAATGAGAAGTCATGAGAATGAGATGGTAAAAAGATTATGAGAGGTAACAAACAAACTCAATTTCATAGTAAAATTATATAATGTTGCATAGATAATGTTGCACCGTACGAGGAATCGATCCCGCGACCATCCGAAGTAAAGCTATGTGCTAAACCGCTATACCCGCTATACGTCAATGAATGAGAAGTCATGAGGATGAGATGGAAAAAAGTTTACGAGAGATAAGATATTCATTTTTATTTAACACTAATAGTTACCTTTACTTGATGGTAGATAAACTATATGATAAAATTGTAATTTCTAATCTGTTAATGGATATATTCTGTAGTCTGTGACTGAAACACAGCGTAATTGATCTTTGAACTATACAGTCATTGTATTATTCACACTTTTTTATCATCATATAAAATAAGGCATTATGAAATAGGTTATACTGTGTTCTCTGTAGCATAGTGCGGATGACTATCTATACTACACTATGTGTTACTATTTTTACATTTAACAATTGCTACATTTAAGTTAATACAGTTATTAATCATTATCATTACATAGTCTAAGTATATATAACTCAAAGGTGACTGACTGACATAGTGATTTATCAACGCACAGTCCAAATCACTGGACAGATCGGGCTGAAATTTGGCATGCAGGTAGATGTTATGACGTAGGCATTCGCTAAGAAAGGATTTTGATTAATTCTACCCCAAGGGGCTAAAATAGGGGATGAAAGTTTGTATGAAACTGTCAATTTCCGATCAGGCTGAGACTTTGCATGCATAAAGCTACTACGATATAGGCATCCCCTAAGAAAGGATTTTGATAAATTCCACCCCTAAGGGGACAAATTAATGTGAGCGAAGCCGCGGGCAAAACCTAGTATAAATAAAGTCGCTGGCGCTGTCTGTCTGTTCCTATGTATGCTTTAATCTTTAAAACTACGCAACGGATTTTGATGCGGTTTTTAACAGATAGAGTGATTCAAGAGGAGGGTTTATATGTATAATACATGTGCACCCGTGTGAAAACAGGGCGGGTAGCTAGTGATATAATACATTACGTATGTGTTACAGCTGACATACTAAGTCATAATTTGTAAATCGCGGCAACATTTAAATTAAGAGTGAAACGAAACATTACAGTACCATGCTGTAGCATAGCATAGCAATGCACATGGTATAACGCACAGTATAGGGTTATCACAAAGCATGACATTGTTAAAGAAAGGATAAATTAAATTACTAAGTTTGTTAATCACGAAATCTATGACTTTCCCTACTATCCTAAGAATAGGAGTTTGTAACAAAATATCACATTTACATTTCAATAATAAAACACGAAATTTGAAAAAACGTGATCATTTGTGTGGAAGAATCGAATCCGCGACCATTGCAACTGTGCTAACCGTTAGACTAGATGATAAGGAAATGTAAAGAGAAGAAAGGCAAAAATGTAAATTAAAATCAAATAGCAACAAGTTAGAAGACAAAAGAATGTATTACAATAAGACCAAAAATGTAAACTGTGGAATTAGTATAGTCTCTAAAAAAGTAAAAAATCTAGAAATTGACATCCAGGACGAAATGAATAAAGAAAAAAAAATCAAAAACCGCTAGACCTAGTCTATATTACTTCACGAAATCTATGACCCTCCCTACTATCCTAAGAATAGAATTTTGTAATATCACATTTAAGTTTTTTAATAAAACATTAAAATTTTATATGTAAACTTGTGCTTGCGTGGAAGAATCGAATCCACGACCATTGCAACTGTGCTAACCGCTACACTACCAAGTCCTAGTATATATTATTAGTTAAAGGTTCTTATTACTAATAAGGTGTAATGTTCTTCTCAATTGGATCTATATACCGAACTGGACGGTAGGGGAAAAAAATATAATGTAAAAACTTGACGTTCATAAGCGGCTAAAATGTCCTATATGAATATTTGAATTTGAATTTGGTTATCTTCTCTGCCAGTTATAATATACCAAATACAGGGGGAAGGTAATTGTCAGTAAAGTGGACTGATGACCCCATTGCTAGCAATGTACTACTTCAGCTTGAACTTCACGCGGTCCCCCTGGAAACCATCGTGATAAATTCCTGGTAAATTCATCAGGAGGACCAACTGACCTGTCTGCATGCTCATCCTATCATCCTGCACTGGTACCCCGCTAGCGTAAACCGTTAGCGCAGGCGGGTGCACCTATCCATATTCATCCATTAAAAAAACAAAGGAATAAGAACAAGGGTATGATAATTAATTAGCGTTATTATATTAGGCTAATTATAATTAGCATGATGAATCATTAGCATGTAGTAACAAGACTTGTTATCAAGCAATTACTATTAGCCCTTGGTCGCCATTCTCAATTAGTTTACTTTTACACAACTGCCTAAAATAGGATGGTAATGTTTTCATGGTATGATAACTAAAGGGCTGAGAGGGGGAAGTGTTATGAGATTTATTTTATTTGCTTATTTCCTCTTTATTGCACCAGAAGTAAATTACAAAGAACAAAAGAGAAGTAATAACATTTTTTTTATTTTTTTTTTAAAAAATAATAACATACAAAAGGCGGTTTATCGCATAAGCAATCTCTTCGAGACAATATTTGAGTAGAGGAGAGAAGACAGAAAGTGGTAGATGGCGCAAAATGGACTAGAGTAAATAAAGGCATAGCAGTTGTTATAGTAGATACCTAGCAAGTATTACGACATATCCTCAACGGCGATCGGATCGGACCACCAAGCATGACGCAAGAAGGTGCGCTACCGAGAAAACCACCTGCGTCGAATCAGCATTTTAGTCCCCACAGCAATAATACCCATTTCCCTGATTTTTAATTTTATATAATTGCACTTACGGATCACACATCGATCCGAAGACACCTATATAATTGTAATAATTAATTTTTAGAATTAAATTTAGTTTACTTATAAAAATTGGTTTTTTTTGGGTCTTCCGCCAGCGACTTCAATAACTGGCGCAGTCGGTAGGATACTCGAGACGTATCGAGATTAGAAATAGGGTATATCTCACATCGATTACCGTGTCGTCTATGATCGCTATCGTCGTCGCGAGCGATTCGCGTCCACGAGTATCCAGAAAGAAGAACCTGAAGTTTCCTGGCTGGAAGAGAAATCAAGACATCGATCCTAGAACTACCAATATGCAGCGCATGTGAGTACACTATACATTTTTCCTGTAAAGTTGCTCTCAAGGTGTAAAATTTAGTGAATAGTTATATAGTTTAGTTGCAACCATTTTCCACCCTAGGAAAATCACCCCTAGAGGGCCTGCGCGCGATAGACTATCCCGTAGGCTCAATTTAGATAGAAATAGAGATTTAACTTTAGAATCAGTGTCCGAGGAGTCGGAATATAGTAATATGGGTGACGTAGATAATATTCTGAAGGCCATGCGCCTAGTACCAGAATTTGATGGTAATCCTCACGTCTTACCTAGATTTATCCGTCTTTGTGACCAATTTGTTAATGAGTATTGTATTAAGGAAAATCCTGGCAACGAGTTTGTTAATTTATGTATTGTAAATGCTATTTTAAATAAAATAACTGGACCAGCCGCGCGCATAGTAAATTCTAACGGATTATCTGAGAATTGGGATAGCATTAAAAAAGATTTAATTAATAATTTTTCGGATCAAAGAGACGAGACCGCTCTTTACAATGATCTTATGTTAGCTACACAAGGAAATAGGTCTCCACAGGAATTTTATGACCATTGCGTTAACATGTTCAGCACTATAATGACTTATGTGACTTTGCACGACACTATTAGCACTACTGTCGAGGCGAAACGTATTTTATATAGGAAACTAACTAAAGATGCATTTGTTCGAGGCTTAAAAGAGCCATTAGGTTCTAGAATACGTTGCATGCGTCCTGATAATGTCGAGAAAGCTCTCGAGTTTGTACAAGAGGAATTGAACGTCATTTATTTGCAAGGCCGTAATGAAAATAATGATAAAAAGGCACATATGCATAATCCACTACCTAAACCGTCTTCTTTGGCCTTACCATCTAGTACTATGCCTATTTATAAGCCGATCAATTCCTTAGTACGACCACCTCTTTTGCATCAGTGGCAATCACCGCCCATGCAACAACCATGGAAAGCTAGTTATCCGCCTAACCAGCCTGTACAATACAGACCTCCAGGTATACCTTCACGCACACAACAGATATTTAGGTCAACACCCCCAAATTATAACCCTCAATTTAATAAATTTCAATTACCTTCAAGGCAAGCTCCGCAAACTCAAGGGCCTAAACCCATGAGTGGTGTAAGCCATTATGTCGCTAGGGAAAGACCTATACAGGGTCAATTAACTGGACATGATTGGCATAGACATGGAAATCCGCCTCCATCGAACTATTTTAAGACTGGGAGCATACCTTCACCACTTTTATACCTTATTAACACAGGGATATGAATATGAATGAATGTTCTGACTATAATTATAATGATTATTATTACTATACCGATTTTTCTCCATACTACGATTATGATAACTATTATTTCGAACATAATTATGATTTAGAAAATAAGACGGATTACTTTAATTATAACGACCAAGATTTTAATAACTTGAATGAGGATCATACTTACCCTGCGGATCCTCAACCTTCAACAAGTTCTATTGAGGAGCAGGATTTTCCCAAGCGGGGGAAATCAGAAAAATCAAAATAGAAATTAATATGCAC